CCATGGCGATCCCCCCGCCTCCCCCACCGCCACCGCCCCCGCCAGCGCTCGGCGGCGGAACCAACGCCGCCAACATGCCCAAGCCACCAATGGTCGGGCGCGACGCTCTCTTGGGCGATATCCGCAAGGGCACCCGGTTGAAAAAGGCGGTCACCGTCGATAAGCTGAAGCCAATGATCGAGGGCAAAACCTCCGTGGGCGGCGGCGCGCCCAGCGCCCCGATCGGGGGTGCCCCCGCTGTCCCGGGAGCACTGTCAGCGCCGCCAGTGCCGCCGCTGGGAGCACCGCAATTGGGCGACATCTTCGCCGGCGGGGTCCCTAAGTTGAAGCATGTGCTGCGCCCAGGGTCGCTGGCGCCAGCGCCGCCCCCAGCGCCCTCAATTCCTATGCCTGGGCGCCCAACCCCATCTCGGGTAGCACCCACGCCACTGGCGCCGTCGCCGTCGCCGTCGCTGGCAGCGGCACCACCGCCACCACCGCTACCGACGCTGGCACCGCCGATCCCGAGCTCAGCGCCGCCAATTCCGGGCCTGGCACCCCCTAGCGCTGTTCCTACTCCACCACCAGCGCCGCCTAGCGCCATCCCTACGCCACCGGCACCGCCGAGCGCTGTGCCCACCCCACCCCCCTCAGTGCCGGCGCCACCAAAGTCGCCCATGGCCGCTGCTGCTGCCAAAAAGGCTCCAAAAATGCCGCCTTCAAGACCTAAAAAGCTGTCTCATCTTCGGGTAGCCAGTGGCGACTCCCACAGGACGCCGCTGCCGACACCGCCGCCGGCACCGTCGATGGCGCCGACGCCGCCCCCGTTGCCGAGTATGGCACCGCCAGTACCAGGAGCGCCACCACCGGCACCTTCAGCGCCATCAGCTCCACCAGCACCCCCAGCGCCACCTCTGGCGTCGACCTCGTCCCCATCAGCTCCGCCGCCGCCGCCGTCAGGGTTGCCGTTTTTAGCGGAAATCAACGCTAAGCGCCTGGACGGTATGGCCAAGCCACTGTCACGACCAGCGGCTAAATTCCCGGTACCGTCGCTGTCATCGGCGCCGCCACCGCCTCCGGGACCGCCCCCTCCTCCAGCGCCGGCGCCAGTTAAGTCGATGTTGACTCCTGCTGCCGCCAGCGCTCCCAGCGCTACTTCAAAGGCGCCCCTGGCGCCTCCAGCACCGCCTCCGTTACCACCTAGTGCTCCCAGCGCCGCCCCAGGAGGTCCACCTCCACCACCGGCAAACTTATTCGGATCATCGAATAAGTCCAAACCGGCGGCTAAAGCTGGTGGAGCGCCTGCTCCTGGCGGCGCACTCCCATTTTTGGCGGAAATCAACTCCAAGCGTAATGACACCTACGTGGTGGATGGCCTGGGCAAATACTCCACTAAAGATGCCAGTGACGGTGGTGCCGTTAGTGGCTCTAGCAGTAGCCGGCCGCCGCTGAAACCGACGACGTCACTGGCGCCACCGGTGCCGTCGATACCGTTACCAGGTATGGGTAAACCACCGGCGCCGCCGTCAGCGCCATCAGCGCCGTCGCCGATACCATTACCAGGTATGGGCAAACCGCCGGCACCGCCGTCGGCGCCTCCGTCGGCGCCGCCTGCGCCATCGATGATACTGCCGCTGATGTTGAAATCATCGCAACCACCACCCACGCGGGTGGTACCCCCACCAGCGCCTCCTCTGGCACCTCTGGCACCTCCTCTGGCACCCCCGCTGGCGCCGCCGCAAATTCCGGTACTGAATCCGTCATCGGCGCCCTCAGCGCCACGCATGCCTCCCGTTAAACCGTTGGTGACCCTGCAGGCACCGCCACCGCCGCCGCTGATGCCCACGCCACCTCCAGCACCCCCCCTGGCACCGCCGTCGGCTCCTTCTTCAGCACCTCCGTCAGCAACCCCGACAACCCCGTCGCTGTCGATAAAGCTTCCGCTGATGCTCGATGTCGGCCGCAAGAAGACTGCGCCGCCGCCACCGCCGACGGTCAACGAGCACCAACAGGCGGTGGGGCTGTCGCTCCGCAACACCGACGCGCTGGCGTACACCATCGGCGGGTCTACTGCTGGTAAACGGATCGAGATCGACGACCTGCGGTTCAAGTGGGTCAACGCCCTGCTGTTGCCGCAGCCGCGCCGGTTTGAGGGGCGACAGAAGTTGTACCCCAGTGGCCGGGGGTCGCTGGTGCCCCTCGACTTGAGTTTATACGACTAACGATCCGCACCAATAAAACAAGTCATGGATACGACCAATTTCAAGGCAAAGTTGCGTGAGCTGCATCGATACAAGAAGTTCATAAAGCAATTACAGCGATGACGTAAAATACGATTAGTGAGTCGTTCGATTCGTGTGAGCTACCTATTTGCTGATCTCAATTCCGTGAACCCTATATTCAAGTCAACTTGATGACCAGATTGTGAGCAATTTAGTTCTCCAACATAAAGCTCTTCTCGCAACTACTCCTGTAGCTACTATTAAAACTCAACAATGTTTGATATCGTCATATGTCACTTTGAAATACGCATTGATTAATGAAATATACAGATTGTGCCAATCCTAAAGGCTAGAGCGATTCTCCTAGCGAAGGGTATTCTACAAACATATCGTCTTTCGTGAATCATATATTCATGTTAATAACTATGCTAATGAGCGTTGAACATCAAATTTTGCGCCATCGCCAGGGCTTGAGCGGGCCCTCGCTTTGACCGCTCGACGGCTCGGATCTCTTCTTCACGGGCCATCTTCTTTTCGTATTTTTCAGGGGACAAGAATAATTTCCAGACACGGCGAAATATCATTGCAATTGCGTTGTAGTAGTGGTAGTCGTTGTTGTTTTTAGTGGTGGTTTGCTGGAGCAGCTAATTGAAAAAGAGAGAGATATTGGAGGGGATGCCGCCGTGGTTATATATTTATCTGAATACGAGAAAACTTAGGCATGGGCGTGATCGGCGGTCGGCTGTAAACAGGCGGCTATGTCTGTCAGCACGTAGGCAGGTGAAGTCGATGCATAGCCACGCGGAAAAGCGCAAAATGCTACGGCAATGTATACGATACGGGGCTGAACTGTGGGGAAGTTTAGTGCTGCGAAGCACACCTGCTGTAGGTACCGAGAACGGCGTGACGTGCCCTATATAACCATTAAAGTTTCGGTGCAGAAAGCGCAATAGTATAATTGGGACGGAAGAGAACAAAACCATTTTAGTGCTAACGATATTAATTGGACATCCGGTGATTATAACACTTGATATGAGATAGATGGTGCTTGAATTAGCTTTTCAGTGTTGAATCTATGGTAGCTTTGTGGAAGTTTTATCATGATCAATGCCATTATGGCACGACTAAGATGTTCTCGCGGCTATGACATTTGCAGATACATGTCAATGACGTCACCTGCGCCATTGCATCATACCATCTTCTTTTAGCGAGATTCGGACCGAGACGGCCATCAACGCAGGTAGTAGCGAGCCACAGCTAAGCCCTAACTGAAGATCGCTGCATGTCGGGTGACTCTTATGTCTCAGCTGCTCCACGTTGGTCGTGAGATGATTACATAAGCACAATCAACATGAAGCTTAAAGTCTCCTCTACGGCATCTGGGCTACACGGTTCACTAGGCTCATATACTCATTATGGATCCAAGCGTCAGCGGTAGTGGAACGCCTCCGGGGCAGTGACGTCGACCAACTCGTTCATGTCCAAATACTCATCGTCCTCGAGATCGTCGTCCTCGTCCAAGTTGAGCTCGGCGATCTCCTTGATCTCCAACGCCAACAACTGGGTGACACGGCGGATCTCACACAAGTTCTCCACCTGGGCCCGCGTCTCTTTCGAAAGCAGCAGCAGCACCGTGCCCCCCTTGCCCAGATCTCGCAAGAGAAGCAACCCGTCGAGCCACACGTACTTGTTGACCTCGGTGTCGGTGTAGAAGCTGAACAAGCGCTTGCCGGCGGTGCCGAGAAGCGTGATCTTCTCGTAGGAGATCGTCCCCTTTACCGAGATGAGCATCAGCGACTTATTGCGGTCGGCTTCGCCAAGGGCCTCGCCGACTTTCTGCAGCTTGAACTCGACGATGTCGGTGATGCGGATGAACAGGTTTTCGATCTCTTCGTACAGCGGATTGGCCACGGGCTTTTCCGCGTACGCCTTGTAGTAGATCATCTGTCGGTTGGGCAGGAGCGCCAAGTAGTAGTACTTCATCCCCGTGTACTTTGTCCGCAAGTCCTTGGAGTTTTTGAGCATCTGTTCCCCGTAGCTTTCAGTAAACACCCACAGCCCCTTAAGCAACTGGATGGCACGCTGTTCCAGGACAAAGTCCAACACTTCCTGGCCCAAGTCGCGGTTGAACTCCATCAACCGCGCTCTCCACCGCGCCTTGTGGGCGTCATTAATCTTGATCACTTGGATGTGGCGCAAGTCTTCGCCGGTGTTGGAGTGGGTGATGTCCAAGCACTCCTCGATCGTCTTGTCGTGGCGCAGCAACCCCAACTCGATGCTGTCGACGTTCGACTTGAGCAACTGAAGGATCTTGTCGACGTCCATCATGTTTTCCAACTGGGCGCGGGTCTCCTGCCACAAGTTGAGACAGTTGTTCATTGTGTAGTAGATCATCAACTCCCACAGCAAAATCAGGGCGTAGATGAAGGGGTGTTCTTGCTTCTTATGGAAAAGCTCGAGCCACATATCGGTGACCTTGTCGATGAAAAGCAGCAACGGGAAGGTGCGGTTGTGGTCCAGCATCATCAATTCTTCGTGGAACTTCTTTTTAAACGTGAAGTTGGGGTCCTTAAGGAAGATCTTCAAGTCCATCGCGAGCAAAATGGTAAAATTGTCGATGATGAATTGGCGGGGGTCGTTAGTGAAGCCGGCCTTGACGTACTCCTCGGGGGTGGCCGGGGTGCCGTATTCGTTAAGCAGCACCTCGAGGTAGACGAACAAGTTCGTCATCATCACCTGGTGGCTCTTAATCAGCATGTCGAAGCGCGTCGTCGAGAGCTTTTCGTTCAAGTTGTAGTAAGAGATCTTGAGGTTTTCAATGGCGTCGAGAATGGCTTTGTCCTCGGTCTCGATGAGGTTGCCCACCGTCAGGAAGAACGTGACGTGCTTCAACCGCCCCGCCAACGTGATCACCCCCAGGTAGTCGAAGTCCAAGGCGCGGTTGATGATGTCGGTGACCAACTTGATCAGGTTGAATGTGATCTTGTTGTCCTGGAGGTACAACTTCTGGGTGATGATGTCGATGACGTCGAGGTACTCGATCAACAGCTCGTAGAACGGCAAGTACTTGTCGAACAGGTCGTCCTTGGTGCGGAAGATCTGAGCCAGGATGAAGATCACCAGGATCTTGAGGATGGCCTTGTAGGTCTCGGTCAGCATGTTGGCCAGGACGATGGAAAAGAGGGTGCCAAAAAGCGTGTGGTCCAAGATCAGCGAGAACTCGTTGGCGGCGGCGTCCAGCCCCGCGACACAGTCCAAGAGCTTCGCCAACACCACGATCAGGTTGACTTTTTCCTGTTTGTCCTTACCGAGGATATTTGTCCGCAACACCAGGGCGTAGGCGAGTGCCGTGGGCGCGTCGAGCTTCAGCTTGGCGATGTTGTTCTTTGAGAGCAACTCGTTGAGCTTGTGGTTGATTGTCCGCGAGCTCTCCGCCATCATGTACTCCTGGTCCATCGGCCCTGGGGTGGGGGGCGCGTGAAGCTTTATATTTCGTGGGCACCGCGCGGCGTCGGACCATGGCTAGCTTCGAGAAAAACACTGCTAACCGGGCGCGCCCTCGTCTAGGGAAGGTAGGAGCTAAATAGGCAGAGATAAACGAAGGCGGCTAGTGTTTGTTTCGGCGAGTGTTTTGTTTCAGTTGATGAGTAGATGGCAACGATGACGGTCTAATCGACACGGCTATCGGGTCGATCGCTGCCTTGGCATCGAGGCAATGACGTGGCGAGGTGATGCCATTGTCGTCGTCTGGCCCCGCCTCAAAATACACTGATTGTACGCAGTCAGCCTGAGGCTTAGAGGTGTGGGCTAGCCGAAGTAAAGAGGGGGACACCGTGAGACGAAGACCACTCGGCGAATGGTATCAGTTAAAATACAGTACTAGTGCCTTGTTGACTCGCTCACTGCTAAAGGGTAAGGCGTGTGGCTACCGGAAGGGTCTCGGTTACTTAGTCTAAACAAAATCAAGGTTTGGGGTCAGGTGACCTCGACCCAACCGAAATGGGTTATCTAATTGAAATTTACCAAACGCCACTGGTGGCGATGGAAGGCGTGCTGCGATGTTTGAGGACTGAGGCGGGGAGCAATCGGGATTAGCGAACGCTAGCGTGCGTTCGGGTGAGGCGGGTGGGCGACGTCAACCTGGAACTAGCGGCGGTTAGTAGTGAGATATATATAGGAGGGGCCAAAATGGGGGGCACCCCCAGGGCGTGCGCCAACCGAACGGAATAATAGGCACACACTAGCCCGAGAAACATTAGACTCTACTATCTGAAGCCGTTTGGTAAGCTTGAAGCTATCACCTAATCAGAAAATGAACTGTTTACATGGTCAGTATTCGGATATTTGCCTTTGTCAGTTCTCTGAGTGGCTACCTCGTGGTTGTGGTTCGCACTAGGTTCCGAATATAGTATCCCTAGACTTTCCGACACTCCCGACAACGGAACTATCGGATCACCATTTACGACACTTACCCCACTCTCAGACGCAATTGCGACTCACCGCACTGGTGGTAAAAAAAAGACCCATTCGTTCAGAGCCAATTTATCTAAAATTCAAAACTAAATTGTTTAATAATCAAACTTAAAACAACTCGTAAAACATACCACCAGTTTCATCACTAATTTACACTTAACAATTAATCAATTTTTTCTGAAACCTCAGGGCGCCACCACCATTAAACCGCACCAGCGCGAATTTTCACCGGCCATGTCTTTCTTACGACGGGACAAATCCCGGCTGAACCTCCGCCTCGTGCACGGCCAGGGCGACGCCCGGGCGCCGGCGCCCGGGCACCACGACGACCCGTCCCAGGTGCTGCCTACCGCCAACGGCTTTCCCCCGGGTTTCAACGCCCAGTACCCCGACGCGCCCGCGCCGCCCCTCGTCGACGGCCACGGCGCCCCGCTAGCGCCCGTGCTCGACAACTACAGCCCCCGCCTGCTGATATCGGCGCCCGACTCCAATCTGCCGGGGGTCAAGGACAATTACAAAGGTTTTCACGCCAATAAACGGCCTCAAGGCCAGCAGAACGTGCCGCCGTTGCTGAGGCCGATCAAGCCGCGGTTTAAGAAGAAACTGACTCTGTTGTTGGGCAAATGGATCTACCTGCTGCGCAAGGACCTGAGCGACTCCGGCGACGACGTCGGCGGCGCCGGTGGCGGCGCCAGTGGTAGCGGTAAGCCCCGCCTGAGTCTGACGGCGCTGGTGGCGCTGGCGCACCTGGCGCAACTGGCGGCGCTGCTGCAACAGCTGACGGGGCTCTCCCACGCCAAGTTGCGCATCCCGCTGATGCTGCTGATGTTCCACCTGGGGCTGGAGCTGAAACTGGCGCCGATGGCGCCGGCGGCGCTGGCGGCACTGACGGCGCTGGCGCTGCTGGCACTCGCCCGCTTCGACTTAAATCTAGATGAGATGCTGGGGATCGTCGACGACGCCGCCGCCGCGATGCCGCAAGCGCCACGGAAACTGGTGGGGCTGGCGGCCCATTCTCGCGGAAGTGTTGGTTCTGGTGGAAGTAGGGGCGGCAGCGCCGGCTCCGCCTTGGGCGGCAGCGGTCCCCGGGGGCTGGTGGCGTCATTACCACAGATTACCCCTCCGGCGCCGGGGCTGGTGCTGCTGGCGCCCCCGGAAACCACTAAGCGCACGCTGACGGCGCTGGCCTCGGATGCTAAGGGCGCGGCGCTGCGGCGACAAGGGCTGGAAGCGGCGTGGACGGCGCCGGAGCTGTGGGACGTCAAAGCCACCCCCGAACCGTGTCCTGACGACGGCGAGGTGGCCCCTGAACCCGTCACCGAACTGGCGCCGGCGCCGCTGTTCTCGCAGCAGAAGAAATATCCCCCCATCTGGGGCATCCGCCTGGCGCTGGTGGTGGAAGGTGGGCCTAACAACATCATTCGCGTGTTCCGCGAGGATAATACATTCACAACAATCTTGTGTCCCCTTGAGACGACCACCACCGAGCTTTTGGCAATTATCCGACGCAAATTCTTCTTGGAACTGGTGGCTAACTTCCAGGTATCGGCGCACGTGGGCAACCATTTCAAAGTGATGGACCCATTTGAGAAACCGCTAAAAGTGCAACGTGGTTTGCTTATGCTTTCAGGGTATACCGATGCGGAAAACTTAAAGATATTGGGTCGGGAAGACCTTCTGTTCTTGGTCAAGTTTGTGGTGGAATCAATCGCTTTACGTAACCTTACCCACGACGAGGAGGTGGTGTTATCTAAGGACTACGTCGACGTTAACTTACTGGGTCTCTCGCTCAAGAATATCCCCATCATCTTCCACCAGCACACTTACGAAATCGAAAAGCTTAACGTGCTGAATAACCCTGGCATCCACATCCCCTTGGACTTTATCCAACTGTGCAACAACTTGACGGCCATCAACAGTGCCCGCAACGGCCTCCTGCGGTTCCCACATAACTTATTGGAGGCACACCACTTGACTCGCTTGGACTTGGAGCTGAATTTCCTCGACGAGTTGCCGCGAGAGTTTGGCCGTCTTAAGCTTTTAACCCATTTGAAAGTTAACCTGAACCAGTTGGTGCTGTTACCGCCATCGTTTGGTGAGCTTCAACGGCTTGTCCAACTCAATTTGTCGCTGAACTATTTCTGTGAATACCCCGAAGTGGTCAATACTCTCGGGCTGTTGGTGGACTTGGACCTTTCTTATAACGACTTGGGGGTGATCCCCACCCTGATTGCGGGGCTTGCTCGTCTCCAGAAGTTCAACTTATGTACCAATAAGCTCCAAGGGGCGTTGCCACCAGCGATGGAAGGGTTGATTCTGCTTAAACGGCTCGATATCCGCTACAATTCCATCACCAACGTCGATGTATTGGGTAAACTCCCCGCCTTAGAAGTGGCCTACGCCTCCAAAAACGCCATCAACTCGTTCCTGGACCAGATGGAACAGCTCCGCCTTCTTCATTTCGACAGAAACCCGATCACTACATTACAATTTGTCCACACGTTATCATACCTCACCATCTTGGACTTATCAAAGGCTAAGCTCACCATGGTTCCGCCCGAGTTTGTTAGTCGTATCCCTCACGTGGAGAAAGTGGTGTTGGATAAAAATCACTTGGTGACGCTCCCGGACGAAATCGGCCACCTCCATCGTCTCACGCTGTTGTCGGTGCACTCAAATAACTTGCGCAGCTTGCCGGCTCTGATCGGCGACTTACAGCAGTTGCAGGTGCTCGATGTCCACGCTAATAACCTCCAACTGTTACCAGAAACGCTCTGGCACTTGGGACTGTTACAAGTACTCAATTGCGCTCTGAACATCCTCGCAGGGTTCCCCAAACCACCTTTGGCGGTAGCGAAACGAGTAAGCGCCGGCTGGGACGGGCTGCTGGCGCTGCTGGCGTCGCCTCAGCTGTTGGCGGACTCGCTTCTGCTGCTCACTATGGTTGATAACCGGTTAGGGGACGAGTGCTGGGAGCTGGTGCTGTTCTTGGTCCACCTCAAGTACTTGAACTTGCTGTACAACGAGCTTTCGGAGATCCCCGAAGGTGCCCTCACTCGGCTCAGCCACTTGCACGAGCTTTTGGTGCTGGGCAACCAGCTCACTACGTTGCCTGCCGACGACTTGGAGCTGTTGTCTTCGCTCCGCTTGCTTCACTTGAACAATAACAAGCTCGTAGCGTTGCCGGCGGAGATTGCCACCCTCAAACAACTCCAGCATTTGGACGTGGGGCTGAACCAGTTGAAGTACAACATTGCCAATTGGCCCTACGACTGGAACTGGCAGTTCAACCCCAACTTGCGCTCGTTGAACTTCCTGGGCAACAAACGGTTCGAGATCAAGCAGACGTATGTGAAGAACCCCGACACCGGCGAGTACTTGGACTCGCTCTTGGCGTTGCCTAAATTACGGGTGCTCGGGCTTGTCGACGTTACCATCACCACGTCGCAAGTGCCTGACCAACTGGTGGAAACCCGCGTAAGACTGCAGTCGCTGGAGGTGGCGCTGATCGGGTACGGGGTGTCTGACTTCATGGGTACTCGCGACCACGTGCTGATGGGTGACTTGTTCGTTCAAAAGTTCAGAGGTAACGATCTGGAAGTGCTTTTCTGTCTGCTTGACGGCAAATTTGGCGCCGTCCACAAGGGCCACCGCATTCTTTACTTGGTGAAGACGATGTTCGTGCCCGCATTCACCGCCGAGCTCGAGCGGCTCGCGGGCCATGAGCTGCCGGTGGACGCGTTGCGGCGGGCATTTTTGGCGATGAACAAGGAGATCAACGGTACCCTCGCCGCTAAGCGTGCGGGACAACCAGGGTCGCCAGAGCTCGCTGACCTCAGCGTCGATGAAGACTCCGGTGCCGGTGTGTCGTTGACGGTGATCTACTTGGTGGGGAAACAGCTCTATCTGGCCAACGTCGGTGACTACGAAGCCCTCTTGCTGAGGGCAAACGGCGACCACGTATTCCTCACCACCAAGCACGACCCCACCACCCGCGACGAGTTCGAACGCATTCGGGCTTCCGGTGGTTACGTGCTGGGCTCAGGGCTTTTGAACGGCCAGCTCTCGGTGCTGCGAGGGGTGGGCTTTTTGAACTACGTGCCTCACACCCACGCGGGCCCCTCCATCACCGAACTCACGTTGCTGCTGGGAGACGACACCATCGTCTTGGGTACTAAGGGCCTCTGGGACCATGTGCCGTATGAGCTTGCCGTCGATATCATCCGCCAGGAAAAGTCTGACCCGATGCTTGCTGCTCAACGTTTGCGGGACTACGCCATCGCCTATGGGGCCGTCGACAAAGTGCTGGTGACCGTCGTCCAGTTAGGCGACGCCAAGCTGAAGCTGCGGTCCCATTATACCCGCCTGCCGGTGGAGAACGAGCTTGTTCGTCGTCGTAAGGACCGCATCACTGGTGACTCCACTCTTCGCCGCCTTGACGACGAAATCGACCCTCCCGTGGGTGAATTGGCATTGGTATTTACCGATATTAAGCTGCTGACATGGCTCTGGGACACTTACCCGGCGCCCATGCGACTGGCAATTAAGACCCACAACACCATCATGCGACGCCAGCTCCGCATTGTCGGTGGCTACGAGGTGAAAACCGAAGGTGACGCGTTTATGGTGTCGTTCCCCACGCCGCTGTCGGCCCTCTTGTGGTGTTTCAACGTCCAGCAAGCGCTTTTGCTGGCTGATTGGCCCCTGGAAATCTTGGACACCGACCAGTGCTGCGAAGTGACCGACTCCGAAGGCAATGTGTTGTTCCGTGGGCTTTCTGTGCGTATGGGGATCCACTGGGGGTCGCCCGTGTGTGAGCCAGACGTTATCACTGGAAGAATGGATTACTTTGGCCCCATGGTGAACCGGGCCCTGAGAATTTCCGCCATCGCCGATGGGGGTCAGATCTCGGTGCTGGAAGATTTCGTCGAAGAAATGGACACCCTCACACGCTTACATCTGGAAATTCAGGAGGGAAAGACCGCGGTGGACCAGGCATTTGGTGACCCCCATCTCGCAGACACCATCGACCACGAACTCGCCCAGTTGGACCTGATTGGCATCAAGTACTATGGGCTTGGTGAGCGTAAGCTCAAGGGTTTGGAAACCCCGGAAAACATCAACTTGGCCTACGCTAACAACTTGAAGTTGCGCTTCGACATTTTCCAAAAGCGGTTATCCCAAGATGGGGCACCAATGGGACTGAGAGCCGTCGGCGCCATCCCCGTGGAGTCCATCTACTCGTTGCGGACGTTGCTGTTGCGTCTTGAAAACGTCTGTGCTTGTGCTGACGGTGGCAAGTCGGTGCTGGAGCAATTCAAAAACTCACTGCAATTGATCCAGCATCAAATGCTGGACTCGTTCAAAGAGGCAGAATTGGTGGAATTGTTCAATCACTTGGTCCTTCGAGTGGAAAACTGTGTTGCCACGCTTCAATTGCGCCAGCTGTTACTAGAAGCCCAGGGCAAGTCAGGCTATATCGACTTCTCGGCGCTGGCGACGCCGATGTCCGACGTCTTGCTGCTGTTGTCCAACCTTGTCGACGAGTTCCGCCAATTGAAACTGGCATCCCAATAGTCATATCAATACATACCCATTTGGGCGAACCATTTTTATTGTAGTTTTCATAGAATTGAAGTTATTTCTTAGGCGATCTGTATCGAATTATAAGTTTGAAATGCCCTTGCACCTAACAAATAGCCCTCAGCTGATGGTGTGCTAGCTTCGATTGCCAAATTGGGTGAGCGTGCCGCACCACCTGCATCATAGATCCGGATATGGGGAGGGTCTCACACTAGCCATCAACCACTGTCCGCTGTATTTGATACCGCTATTTCTGATGCCGCTAGTCCGCTTGCAGTGGCCGCTGATGCCCGTGCTGCTCGTAGGTCTCGAACCTATCGAGCGGAAACAAACGAAGGAAGCGAAATTATGCGTACAAGAATTTACGGAGTGAAGTTGTTGCGATTAGAATTTGATTCTTGGCTTGGACGGTCATTTGTTGAAGTGACTGGCATATAGATGAAATGAGTATAGGATGAAACCAATAGGGTTTAATATTCATTCCAACTCATTTACCTCTTCAATTCTGCTATAGTGGTTTCAATTAGGTGCAAGTTGCGTTGCACGGGTTGATAGCGTCTATTCAATTCGTCCTTTGTGCAGCGTATATTTCATTAAAATAGTGAATTGATAATTAATCATATTGTTTCTAGTACCGCAGTACAAAACTGTTGTTGTCTCGATTACCGTTGTCGCCTCCCATTGACGAGCAGCCGATTCCCGCAATCTTGGCCAGATTTCTCGGCTGGTGTTTGCTGTTTAAGAAACTGTTTGAGGAAGTTTCGCTATTGACAGGTCCTTTCACTTGGAACGGCACCACCTTGCTTCAAATTGATTCGATGGTTCCGATAACCCCATCAACAAAGCATCAGGTGCTAAATGCACTTGTCAGCGAATTGGAATCTGACAAAGCCTATTGGATAACATCGTCATCCCCACAAGTTTCCCAACTTGAACTGTGACGACAGATTACAAATGAGAGCTAGGAGGCTTAAAGAGCTGGGTGATGGAGCAAGCATCAGTACCGATTAGTGTAAATTATACTCATCACGCCATCCGTTCATCCGACGCCTCGACTATACGGTTCTCCAGACGGTTGCTCAGATTGATCACCAGCATACACTTCCACTCGCTCAAGTAGTTGCACTTCCACAACCGCACTTTGCCATCGTCACCCGCGCTCAGCAAAATGGTGCCGGTATTGTTCCAGTGGACCCGCCACACCTCGCTCTTGTGGTCGCCCAACTTTGCCAAAAGCTCCACCTTGATGTCCCCTTGCGGAAGGTCTTCGGCCTTGAATATCCGCACAAATCCGTCCTTACACGCCAGCGCGATGAGGTGGTACAGCCGTCCCATCAGCGGCGCCCACAGTACCAGCCGGATGAGCCCGTTGTGTTCGGGGAGCTCGCCAATGCGGCGGTAGCGGGTGGTGGCCAGCGACTCCCCCGCCGGCACCGCGTCGGCGCCGGCCATGGCACCGCTGTCGTCGTTGTCGTCACCCATGGGCCCGCCAAAGATAAATGCCTGGTCCAACGCCACCACGATGAACTTCTCCGTCGGGGTAAACTTAGCCGGACACCATTCGATGGAAAACGTCAGCTGGAGCGTCTTGGCCGGGAGGTTTTGCCGGAGCACAGGGATCTCCGTAGTGAGGGCCCACGCCGCTAAGTCCAGCGGGTCCATCAGTTCGTAGATCCGAAAGATACCGTCGGAACCAACACACCCAAGCTTAAGACCGAGGTGGGCGGGGGCAAACACCACGTCGTAGATGGGGCCGTGGCTCTCAATGGCGAGAGTTGCGAGGCGCAACCACCGGCGGCCCAGCCCGTGGAGCTCGTCACACTGCTCCTGCCAGATCTTGACCGTGCGGTCGTAGGAGCCGCTGGCAATCAAGTTCAGCAGGACAAACTCCGGGTGGGCCCACAGCACCTTGACGACGGGGGCGTCGTGCGCCTTCCACAGGTCGTTGAGGATCCACAGCTGGCTCGAGCGGTCGAAGTCGAACACCTTGATGTGCTGGTCGCTCAGCGCCGTGGCAAGCTGCTTGCCGTAGAAGTCATACTTGACGTCGTGGATGAGCTCGTCGTGCCCGGTGAAGAATGGCTTCAGCATTGGTCCTGTTCCGGGGTGGTGGGCGGCGTAAGATCTCCGCGGCGCGGGTCACGTGAAAACTTCCACAAATTAACAAACCATCAGCAAATGTAAACACCACACGATTTTAATGGATGGGCATTCTCGATGGTTTGAAGTGAGTTTTGACGAAGCTTACTTTTCATCTGACGAATCTATTTGTGTAAAATCTGAAAACGATTAGTATCATTTACTTTATGAGATTGAGGTGCGGCGCTGCAAAATCGCTACTCCATGAAGGCGCGATCACTTCACCCTGGATACAACGCCGATAACTCTCAGACAACCAATTAAACTGCTTGTTTTTATTCAATTCCTTTGTAAAAAATGATACCGGCTTGCTCGAACATAGTTGCTTCTTGTGTGTCATCCAATTCTTTTATTCCTGCCTCACTCGTCCCAGGCCTCGCCAGTTATGAGCCAATACCCTACACCATAGATCGCATCGCCTTATCGATCCACTCTGCAACTTCGCAGATACAAATACTGCCGGATTTCACTACGCTAGCTAACTCAACAGACACAAAGTCAACAGTCGATTTCGACCCGTTTCTTCGAATAGTAAGGTACAAGGGCTGGGCCATAAGTGTAGCGCTGGACGCAAACGTTACTTGAACCCATACGCCGCCCGTGATCATAATGGAGTCCCACTTTGATTTGGGTGATTACCATGATTACGAGTTTCTGGACGAACATCTGGATGGTAAGGATCCCATTGAGGTGACTTCTCACTATTCGGTTACCACATTGCCACAATTTCAGTTAGTGTTGAACAAACTTTCATTACAAACCGACCGCATTGCTTTAAGTAATTTCATTTTGGGTGTCCAGAAGTTGTTTGAGGAGTCCATGGAAGCATTACAAGAGATTATCACATGGTACTTCCCCTTTCCTTGGGGAGATATCAACAACCAGGACGAGTTAGCCGAGCCGTTACAAAACGTTTGCCCAACAGACATAAAGGTATTGTTTCGGGAAATCACCCAGGTGAATGAAAAGCTTGATCAGGATTTGGAGATACTCAAGCGGAAGTACCCAGAACCCTGGAATGACTTGACCAGTGACAACTACGTACTGCACACCGCAAAGCTCTTGAAGGAACGACACGCTGTGAAGGCCAATCACACCTGCAGGGTAAAAGAGTTCTTGCACAAGTGCCCAACACTTAGTCGACAAAACGCTGAAAAGCTCGAAGACGACCTTGACATGTTGGACTTGAGGTTTGATGAAATCTACGAGAAATTGGATGAGGCATTTCAAAAACTAGTCGAGGACTTGATCCGAGAATCAAATATTACGAGATCTATAGCGCTGGAAGCACTTGCAGCCGTCTATGAGCCGCCTATCAACAACTCGTGATGTATGTTCATTATTGATCACTTATGTATTAGCTGTATTATCATTGTAGAACTTATTGTTGCCTTAATGATTCGGTATAGCGCCTACCAGAATCATATTACAACATTATTCTCCTTATTTTCAAGTAGGTTACACAAGACGCCTTTTAAATTTGACAAGTCAGTGGAAGTTCCTCTACTATGACTTCAATTGTATCGGGGTCCGCTTTTGGCCTTCAAGATGCGAGATATATAGTCAGAGTTACCATAACCAAGTCTACCATGCCCTCCAACCGAAAGATTTGGTTAGAAGAAAGATAACGCACAATCTTTTTCTATACTCCACGAAATAATTGTGGCCTAACCATGGCTTGGTGATGATAATGTGGAAGGCACTTTGAGGTAGCAAAACCGTGCACGCCTACTTATATTCCTCCTTTGATTGCCTTTGTTTGATATTAGCCTGTCAATCAATCAATTGACTAAGCTAATAATGCAGAGATGTAATAGCTACATTTTGATAGGAAATGTTCTTTCATCTACGAAGGCTTGTCAAACCAACTTCTCTATTAGCCACACTTTTCCTGTATCGTGTCTTCTGCCTTCCCCTCACCGACTATTTTTCTCTGCGATAGTCATTCTTATCGCAGTGTTTAACACGCTAATCTTTCCCAATGTCCCAGTCAACCAATTCAAGTACCGAATGTGGAGACCGATGGAAAGAATTCCCGCTCAAGTTCTGCTCGCAAGCCAAATTGGACCGCTCCAGCCACTTCTTAATGAAGTTTCGCCGAGGGCCAGTGAACATCGTGGAAGACTTTACCAAACCCGTCCGACTCCATCAGAAAGATACTTATGGTATCCAGAACCATTTGAGCCGCAAACAAATGGATGAAATGTCTCAGATCCCTGCTAATAAGGTATTTGAAGACCAATCGAAGAAGATGGATTGCAAAGTCGCTCCTGATGGCGGTGGACGCCGCTCGCTTAAAAACTACTACCGACCTCAGGCCCGGCGGGGTTATCACAAGCAACTCCTGAAGGAGCTGATGCCATGGGTGCTAGAAGACTACGACGCCAGAAATGTGTATGTTGGGAACTATGAGGCTCTGCTGACTTTGATACCATTTGTACTTTCGCCGAGTCAAGATGGATATGAGTTAACGCCGATAGTGAAGCAATATAAGTTTACTCCTCGCCTCAACTGTACTACCGCCCAAAGATCGCGCTTGTACAAGGAGTGGTCCCACAAACTTCAAAGCTTGAGTAAGGAAAGCAAAGCGCCCAAGCGCGTTCTGTCTTTCGGCCGCATGCACATGGTCCTGGGTGAAGCCGACACGAGTCGTAACCCGGAGTTTGACGAACCTGATTACGAAGCCACTTTTGCCGACGATGAAGACGTTATTCTTGATGAAAATGACTCGCGGCAAAACAAGTGGTCCAAGCGGAAGCTCAACCAAGAATTGATTGAGGATGTGGTGTCTGATGACATGAGCCATCGCCAGCACCAAACAAGAATTTTGACGAAAGGTGGCAAAAGAATTCAGAAGATGTTGGCCATAGACGCAGGCGAGGGGAGCTTCTATGAAAGTAATGAGGAGGACGTGTCGCCTTGCTACGAGTCAGGGCTGGACTCTAGCGAGGACGAGATATCGCTACAAGCTGCTATCAATGAGATTGTTGCTGCAAGAACGGCGTCTCGTCCCCGAACCGTATTTGGCCACAACTTAGGTGATGGTATTGTCTCAATCAAAGCGTCCCCTGAAGTTCTCCGAGAGTTCCCACCCGGTCGCTGGTTGTCTTCTGGTCGGAGATTACCTTCTACTTCTGGAGGTACGAACACCCTTTAACTTGGGGTTCAATAACTGGATCTGGCAGGACCAGACAGTAAACACAGAGATTTAACAAAGCGCGCAATTTAATTAGGTTATCGGCAACAGTGGGATTGTCGTCGGAGTAAGTAACATAGTATCGTGAGTATAACAATATATAGGAGTATAATTTCGGTACATGCCCATTTTGAATGCTGGCATGATAAAACACCCCTCGCAAGAGATGCTGTGCGTTTGATCTGTGTCTCTATGAAAATAAAGCGGATAGAGAGTTCAAAATTTGAAGCTTAATGAATTGTATGATTTCCTTCGATACCTGATCAACTCTTTACTAGTGCTTACCTGGGTGAAGCTCACATTCGAATGTGCATAACGATCAATGCATACACTGATGCATGATATGCATGACCGCGCATCGGCGCACAATTGGGTATAAGGTACAAAATCAAATTGAACCTAAACTTAAAGCACAAAACTCTTTTAATTATGCTTTCTATCATGGTACGACTGTTGTTTTGTTTATCACTGTTAGTCGTAAGAGTGTCAAATACTTTCAGGCGCTCGCGCAGAAAGTTACGTGTGCACCTTACCAGGATGTATCGAGTCACCACAGTGAGGCCGAATCAAAATTATCACTTGGTTGATCAACAATATTCAGTCTGACAGTACCATGTTTCCAACTAAAGAGATCATTTAAGCAAACAGTGAGCTACATGGTGACAGCATTCACAAATTATTGACAGACCTTTATGATTTTTTATGGTGAGCAAAACTCGGTCAATTATTCGACCAGAACTGCGTGTGAAAAATGATATTCATAGAGCATATTCTTCTTAGATGATGTCGAAGTATCATTTGCATGTATAGCTGGGCGGCTATCACCCCATGATTGGAATGATGTAAGAGTGTAGCTTCATCTATCCTTGTGATGACGCCATTGTTGGTGGAGTTTGCCGTCACTAACACCTCCGCCAAAGAGGGCAAGACTTCTATTTCGCTGGTGTAAGGTCTCAAGGCATAGGCTGGAAAACCGACACATCAGGAGGAGACGTCCTCTGTCTAGAAGATGGTACGGCTATTTTCCCTGAGAAAGCCTCCCTGGGTACGGTACATCATGAATTAAGCACAACATCTAACGTTTCGGAAGGTTTGATGAGCTTAAATTCCAGTAGTTGAAATGGGGAGAGCCAAAGTCAAAGGGGTGGCGTTTGTTTGTTTTATTTCATCAACATTTAGCCCTCGAGATCGCAAGCGTGACACTCCACCCGCCACCTCATAATAGCCGACTCCCCTGAAGGCCAGTCCCCGCTCACACCTTCCAAGACCTGTCCACCGCCCCTCTATCACTCAGGTTTATTGCTTAACCACATTCTTACACTCTACATCGTCTGCCAACTACTGCTTCCCCTACAATTCTACAATCTCAATTTAGCAAGTTTGTATTACTATAGGGCCTTCAATAATTTACCCTGACACTCAAAGAATTTACTCGAGCACACAAAACATTTATCCTAACACTCGAGGAATTTACTCGAGCACACAAAAAATTTACCCGACCACACATTCTCGGTCACGCCTGAAAGCCAAGTCAGAATGCTACCGCCAGTGCTCGGTGGTGGCACCGTTGTAACTAGAACCTTTGTACTAGTACTTGGCGGCCATCGGGTTGTGGCCAGTGTCGCTAAGGATGTGCTCAATTCTCAGCCCGTCCGTCTAAATCTCTCAATGTAGTGTCACTTCCCCGCGATCTTTCTGTATCATCCCCACATCTTTCGGTATCGTCCCCTTCATTGCTATACTCTCCTCCATCACCTACCTTATCAGCCATTAATTGGTTCTGGTAGCAGCGCTAACCCCCCTGTGAGTCTAGCACAGTTCCTTGGCCTTGGCAGCCAAGTAGTCCATCCCACTATGTCAGCCTGGTCGCCTTCAACTTGTCTTGATCTAGCTTCCCCCTCTCTTCTGGACCTCCCCCTCCATCTCCTCTGTATCACTTAGGTCTCCTGCTATTGGCTTCACCACACACACACACTCTCTCTCTCTACTCCATAAATTACAACGCGCACACGAACGCTCACGGCCAGTAGTCTCCCCTAGTAGCCAACGTAAAAGGCGGCAGCCAGATTTATGTTCAAAGATTTGCATGTTTGTATTACTATAGGTCGATTTTTCTATACTCGGTATCACTCCCTGTGACTCCTTACTTCTCAGGGTTTCTAAGGGTTTCTTAGGGTTTCTCAGTATCTCGCGGTAGTCAAGACGATGGGTTTGTAGCCAGTGTTATGGTGATGAGACCTATTGAAATCGGAACCAGATGCTCTCTACTACGGTAACCACGTTCACAACGTACGCAGTATCACTACTTCTAAAACCACCCACAATCTGTCATCAAGTTAACACTCGTATCGTTTTCTTTTTTTCGCTTTAATTTCATTATTGCCCATGGTGGTGATTTCGCGTGCCCCCGGCCAGAGGCCATCGATCGCGCGCGCACTACGCGTATACCCATCACCCAGTATTCAGACGCGTATGGCGGTTCCCTCGCCCACTCTCGGAGAGGTCGTCTCGGCTATCGACAACGCCATCCGTCTCCACTACGCCACCCACACCGCCCCTCCCAACTTGACGGCGATCCTCGCCAGCAGCTCGCGCCTCCTCAGCTATAAGCTCACGCGTGCCGATGTCGCTCGAGTGTGCCACCATTCTCCCGTTTATACCATAACTGAACGCAGTGACGGCGAACTATGTATCGATATGGCTTCAGCGCCTGACCGTGGAGAGGTGGTTAAAAGCACAACCCCGTTGCTTGGCTCTACGCCGGACGACGTGGGGCTCGCCCAGTTTGTCCGCCGCTCGAAGACCCCGACGTCGCTGCCGACGAAAGTGGGTAAGCACTACCTGCTTCTGACACTCAGCAACCGTCCGGATAAGTTTACTTTTAAACAACGCAGCGAAAGCGACGCCACCGCCAAGCTGGGGCTCCTGTTGCTTGAGCGGATAAAACTCAAGGAAACCAAGCGGAAACTCGAACAAGCGACCCCTTCGCCAACGCCTGAAGAGGCGATGACCCCGGTATACGCCGCCAAAGTCTACGATATCCTCTTTTGCCAGCTGGACGGCAAAATCACCACCTACGAGCTCGAGCGGCTCGTCACTACTTGTCGCCAGCTGATCCTGGTCCCGCTAGCCACCGACGACATCAAGGGCGCCATTAAATACGTCGCCGACCGGCTCCCGCAAGTGTCGTGGGTAGAACGCCACATCAACGACGAAAACGTCACCGTGGTCCGGGTGGTGGGACCTCTAAACCGCCACCACGACCTCGCCAAAATTGCATCCAACCCTCTAGCATAACCCTCCTCTTCCAGTTCATTAATGCATTACTATATACAATGAAATACGCCAGGCGCCAGCTTCTCCCCTTCACTTGACTCTGAACAACGCCATCCCCTTGATGTTGCGCTTCGCCGCCTCCTGGACCTCCATGATCTGGTTCTGGGGCGTCTTGATGAACAAGCACTCCGCCGGCTGCAACGGCTTGATGAACCGCACGGGGAACCCTGACGAAAGCGCCTTCACTTCCTCCGTGGTCAAGTTGACCCGGCGCCCCGGAGTCAGCACCAACGAGATGTCGCGGATCACCGGCTGGTTATCCCGGTATTTGAGGCCCAACCACAACCGCCGGGTGGCGATATTGTCGGGAGTAACGTCGACGGGGGTGGTGTCGGGCCCGGCTGTCAGCCCCCGGTGGACCAGCGAGAGGAACCCTTCCTTGTACAACTGCAATGAGCACTCGATCAACTGGCGGGTGTAGGGGACCGACGTCGTGGCAATGTTGACGTTGTGGCAGTTCTTGATATGGCAACAGTAGTTGGCCAAGTGTTGCAATGACATCGCTCTCTCCGGTATCCGTTTCGCGAACCTGAAAATTTCGCACTCGCCCTAGTGCGGCGTAGACTACAAACGAGACCAATGAAGCTAACAAATATATGAACCACGAAAAAGTAGTTAGGACTGGGAAACAAAAAGGTAATGTTGGTTAGGTTCAGGTAGTGAATTAGGAAATTAAAAAAGTATGCCTTCAGCCAGATTCGAACTGACGATCTCCTCATTACTAGTGAGGTGCCTTACCACTTGGCCATAAAGGCTTATACGACAAAAAATTAACCCGCTTTATGGTACCATCCAGGTGGTACTAGCAACGCCGAACATCACTCTACACACTTTTTGAGCCCAGAATGTGTAATATTTTCACCTATATACCCTAGAATTATAATTTATTAGGGAATTTTTGCTTGTTTCGACCCCAATCGATCAATGTTTATGTGCGACTTGGCCATATCATCGCACTAAGTCCTCGTTCACATCACCCGCCAAATGGCCAACCAACAACCCACCACCATCGCCGCCAACGAAGAAAAGCTACAACAGCTTATCTTCAAAGCGCGTCATGAACTGCACAGAGCCAAACAGCCGCAGGCACCCGAGCCCGTATACTACCAGCCCCCGCGATGGACCGACGTCAAGATGCCCACGGTTCCGCCCCACCCCACCCGTTTAACGGTGGTCAATGATGCTAAGCGGGCAGTTTCCGGTGAGAAGGCCCCGTCACGTCTGCTTCCGGGCCAGTGGATGGACCCCAACGTGAAGCAGGCGTTGCTGAAAGTGCCCCCCGATTACGAAGGGCGCCTGATCGCCTGGAGCGTGGTGGCAGCAGCAGTGCTTTTATTCGTTCAAAATTGTGTCCTGCGAGAGACGTTGCCATTACCTGATTACCTGAATGATGTGATTATCGCCATATACTGCTTGTTGGCGCTTAACGTGGTGCGGAGGGGTCTCCGGCTCTACCATGGCTGGAACCTGGTAAACACCATTCCTTTGACTAATGAGCAGCGAGAACTCATCGGGTTACCCCCGTTGGGTGGCGCCCCGACCACGCCGCAATACGAAAAGGACGATATCAAGCCTCGTCAGGTACGAGTACACGTGGCCCCCTCCATCGAGTAATCCAAGAAGCTAACGTGTTGTCAAAGAGATGTGGCGCTTAATAATCAGTGGTGAGTGGTTTCTGGTCATTGTTCAAATCGTTAGTCCATGGCATTCATTTTATGACATTTAAAACAATAGTGCCCTGATACTATACCGATGATGACGTCAACGGCTAACGTCTAGCAAACTCCTGTTGCTGGAACGAAACTAGCGTTACTTTGGTATTATTGAGTAACGTTGAATTACTTCATAATTGCGAATTTATTGGTACAATTATCATATGAGTTCGCAATAGCGATAGCTCATAAGTGGATCTATTGACACATCAGGGCCAGACAGACGCTTAGGCAAAAGGCCTGAGAAAGCTAATAAGATAATTCTTTAATACAAATTTCACACTGCTTAACCAGTCTACGTAATTGGAATCATTCGGATACGTCGCTTACTTCTTAGCGAACCTAGATGCGACTAGATCACAATAGAATGTTGCGCAGTACAATCACAATGGTTAGTTACTTTCGTGTACATTTTCTGGTTTCGAACAAACGTGGCTCATTATCTAAACATAAAAACTAGTCAAAAGTGGGGGCGTCGTCGGCCGACAAGATCTCGGCGGCGTCGAACGACTTTTCGTAACGGTCGCGGGCCTCGAGCGAGCCGCGGTTCAACATGTCGACGAGGATCTTGGTGTCCTTGTTCTTGTCGTTGGCGGGGTTGTTTTGCGCCTTGACCACACCCAAGTAGTTTTCGTAGATGTTACCGTCGTATCTACCAATGGCCGAGTTGATCATCATGTCGGTCAATTGGAAGGAGTCGGTGTAACCCACGACGTTGGGTCTGATTTCCTTCGACAACTTGGGCAAGAGCTCGACGTTGACCTGGGTGAACAACTTCGCCGAGAGGATGTTGTTCGACAACAAGTAGGTCAGCGAGTGTTGCAAGATCATGCCGGCGGCGTAGTACTTACCGAGCAAGTCCAAGTAGGGGACCAAGTCCTTGTGTTCGAACTCGGCCACCCGGCGGACGTACTCTTCGAGCAAGTAGTGGTGAGCCTTCAACCGGGTGATTTGGACAAGGTCGGGCCCCAAGGCGTCGAAGTCCTCGCCGTTGACCTTCCATTGCTGGTAGCAGGCGTACGACGAGCGCATGATGGCGATCTCGAGCGCTCTCGCCACCTTGGACAAGTCCTGGACGTCGTCGAGCGACTTAAGGATGTATTCTTCGGCCTTGTCTTCGACGAACTGCTTGGTGTCGTTCAAGAACGCCAGCGAACCCTTGACGACCTTTTCGTCCTCAAAGTGGCCGATGGTGTGCTTGACGATGGGCTTACCCACAAACACACCCAAGATGTTGTTGTCACCTTCCCAGGTACATTGGACCACCCAGTCGTTGTAAGCCTTACCGAACCCGTTGTAGGCGGAGTACCCGTGACCACCACACGATTGACGGCACTCGTCGATACAGGCGGCAGCCAACCAGGTCAAGTTCAGCTTCAACGCACCGGAGTCGATGAAAAGCGACTTCATGGCTTCGATACCTTCCATCAACTTTTCGTCGTCGGCCTGGTCGACGGCGTCGTCCAAAAGCGACATGGTGTCGAAGATGGTCTTTTCCACCTTGAGGGCACCCGCCGAGGCGACGTAGGCGGCGGCCAAGTAGGGGAAAAGACGCTTTTGGTGCAAGGCGTAGTCGATGATCTGGACTTCCTTGGCGCCCTCGTCGTCGTCGAAATTCCCGTTCTTGTGGAATTGACGACGGCCAATGGCGTATCTGAGGGCGATGGTGGTCATCCGCGCCATCATCCGGTACGAGTCCAAGCACATCATCACTCTACCGCCCAAAAGGGCCGAGTAGGCGAGCTGTTCAAGGGGAGGCAAGGTGACTTCACCCAGTCTCAGCACCCGGGCAAACTTCTGCAACATGAAGTAACGGGGGATACGCACGTGGGAGAACTGGATCCACCCGTTGTCGATCCCGTCACGCCCCATCTTGCGGCCAATGTCACCGACGGTAACACCAGGGTTCAAGTTGTGTTGCGAGTCTCTCAAGGGGACGACGAACGTCTTGACGCCGTAGTCCTCGTCGTCGACGATCAACCGCGCGTACACGGTACAGTGGGTGGCGGAGTGGGCAGCCCCACCGATCCACCACTTGGTGGCACCAATGTGCGGGGTGTTGATGACAAACTCGTCGGTGTCCTTGTCGAAAGTGGCGGTGGTTTCCAACGCCATGACGTTGGACCCGTGGGCCAATTCCGTCATCCCGAAACACCCGTAGATGTTCTTAAGGTAGCACGCCTCCTTGTGCAACGCCCAGTATTCCAACTGGTCGAAGGTCCCGTTACCCCGGATACACGAGATGAACAACCCCAAGTTGACCCCCACTCTGGTACCGACCTGAGGGTCGAAAACACCAATGAGGGACAACCGGTTCTGGAATTCCTGGAACGAGTTGGTTTCGAGGTACTGGGCGACTCTGGCGATCTTCTTCGCCGTCAACTCACGTTCTTGTTCCTTCAGCAAGTCGTAGTAGGCCGGGGTGGCGGCGAGGATGGGGTCCCGCTCCATCTGCTCCGTCAACCGCGCCACCTCTTCCGAGCGCTCCTGGGAGCCCTCGAGAAAGTAGTTCATCTTGACGGGGTCGATCTTCTGCTGGGCCCGCTCGGCGGCAATCAACAGCGCCGGGTCGGGGCCTTGTTCGTACAGCACGGTATTCTTAGCGATAACCATAGTGGTGTGTGGCAACTACTTCATCGTGGGGCGGCGACGCGTTTTATAGTGGGGGTAGCAAAAGTCACAGGCGTGGGGAAGCGCCGCCGGCACTGCGTCGAGTGCGAAGTTTAGGTGGTGGGCACCATCAACTAGTTTGCGACTGAACCGAGGAAATGACGATATTAGAGGTCGATAGGGTTGTTATAGAGAGTAGTGTCACATCCAGTTGCTTCGTTTTGGCTATAATGGTGGTGGTGGCGTGGACTACGGGTGGTCGAGTTCGGACTTTTTTCACATGGTGCCGAGGCACCATTCACGTGCGAAATAACTTGGGGGAGACGATGAAGCCCAGATCAAGACAATATGGGGTAGGCTTCCCCCTGGGGAAGCAACGGGTGTGATTTTTCCGAAGCTGATGTCGACGTCGGTGTTACCGGCACACAAAAAAGGTAGTCGCCCGAAGTAGGACGGCTATTATCTGGCCTGGTTTCCAGTGAGACTACCTGTCTAACAATTAATTGTTAATTGCTAGTGAGACGGTGCGGGTGAAGGTTAGTGAGCGCGCGCTAGCTTTGTTAAAACAAATAAACAGCTAACGGTTACCCCTAGCCATTATCCCTTAACTAAAGTTACACGGCACTGCTGAATCGGCCTGTGACCTTGAACACTAAAAGTCGACCCGAAATTTCAGTGACCCGAAACTCGAGGCTACAAGGTCAAACCCTCACTAAGCTGGTGCCGTCCCCGCCTTTCGGGGTTCGGCGTCACCACGCACGCCCGCTCTCATCTCACGTATAACGTCTTTGCCTCTCCCGCTCGACGTTCGCAAAATTGCGGGGAAGTGCATGTGACACCGCCATGACCGACCCCCCACATTTCGCACCGCCCTCCCATAACGGCAACTGGCGTCGAGGAGGGGCAGCCCGCTCCCTGACTCCGCGGGCAAGCGTTACTTGCCCCGGCAGCCACGCCTCGCCTTCCGCGGATAGATTGGGGGGGGAAGTGAACCAAACACACGAGTAGTAGGGATCGAGGGGTTCGGCACTAGCACTAGCCCCTCAATAACGTCGGCAACGGCCGACACTTCCCCCCACCTCCGAACTAACTCCGAAGCCAACTGGCATCATATGCAGCGATCTCCGTAGACCGAGGACGACGTGCCCCTCAGCGTTGGCACTAAAAGCTAGCGCCGATAAGGCAGGGCGCCACCCGAAAAGGGGCCGGGGCAAGCGAGCGTGCACGTGGAATTTCTCGCCCATGATATAAGACGGCGCCCCCCTCCGCCACTTGGCCTTTCTCTTATCAAATCACTTAATATGTCTGTTAACGTCGAAGGTTTCGAATCGGGTCCTTTCTTTGAATTGTTGCAAGGTGCTCTCGTCGACGAGCCCACCAAGAAGCAAGCGATCAAGGGGGTCAAGGCCGTCATTGTCCTTACGTTGAAGAACAAGGACGGCAAGACCCAGTCGTGGGTGTTGGACTTGAAGAACGACGGCACCGTCGCCACCGCCGACAAGGTGCCCAAGTCGGACGTCCAGTTGATCTTGGCCGACGAGGACTTTGTCAAGTTGGCCAACGGCGAGGCCAACGGGCAGAAGTTGTTCATGAACGGTAAGCTCAAGTTGAAGGGGAACATGATGAAGGCCACCGCCATTGAAGGGGTGTTCAAGAAGTTGGACCCCAGATCTAAGTTGTAAGTTATTGACTAATGTACACCTTAGCTTAACCAAAATTGTAGATGAAAACAACGACCATTTAACGTCAATGGCGTGTGTTTACGTTCAATCGGTCTGGGGGAAGTAGGCAGGCTGTGCTTGTGGTCCTATGAGGTTAGGTGACTCAATCTGACTCAGCTGTAAAACTTGTCGAGACCAATTAGGTAGTCTCATTGAAATGTCGATCCATGATCTACGATGAGTATTAAACTTCACAAAACGATCAACAACGGAAAGATTGACGAAGATATCGACAATCGTTGTAGGCTATGATACATCACTTGTTAGCGTCTGCATGGGTCATTGGATCGTCTATTCGAGTCTACTTTCGTGTAGCATTCATCTAAAGCACTTATCAGATCTCGGTATGAGGCGGATGATGGCCTCAATGCCAATGCAATCAAAGATGCTCAACGGACTGAGATCTAAACAAGTTCGCAATGACGATGGCCTGAATTTTGCTACGTTGAGGTGTATCCTCAACTTGATGTTCACTATCCGCCAATTTTTTATTTGATGAGTAGCCTTCTTTAATACTCAAAGCAGATGTTGATTCGAAAGCTCTTCTTCACGACATAGTTTACTTGAACCAGATCAACCAATCGAAATTGAGATGCCTTGAGGTTCCTCAAAGATCACAAGCCTTTGCGTCGAGGTGGTGAGATTGGATCTTGTTGATGAGAGGCGACAGCCACGCCAACTTTCACCTGTTCTTTATGACGATATAACGGGCATGTTTCGAATAAGTGAGGAGCAAAGTAAAGCGCCGGCCCCCGAAACCCACAGTCACATCTACCTGACCGCCAGTCAACTTCCACCATTCGTGTGGTTTGGTTTAAGAGAACAGGTTTATCGAATCGAAAGTGGTAAAGCAAGTGTCTTCTGAAGAGAGTTTTGGTCAGCCAGATCCTCTCATCGTTACAGCCTTTCCACTGACACTTGAATGGTTTTTCAATGGGACTGAGGATCCTCAATCTTTCCCTTATAGGGATCGCCGTTCTGCGTGCAAAAACTCTCGGCATAGCCAGTCCTGAATGGCTCGAAACTGACATTGCTCGTCTAAATGGGCCTTGAACCTTTGGTACTAGTCCTCCTCTGTGTGACCGAGACTCCAAGTTTACCATCATCGTCAGCTTACTGCCAACCAATCCCTGATTAGAGGTGGCAGTCGTGGTTTGGCTGGAGGAGTCTCTAGGACTCTCAGTTCCCAGTTGGAGGATATCGTATGGGTAGACATCTTTCGCAGGTTGAGGCGTGGGAGGAGTCATTGGCTTGTGATCATAGAACGCTTGGTTACCTCCAAGCTGAAGTGAACCAATAGGCGGCGAGTTTTTGACAACCCGAATAGGAGGCGGCCGGTACTGAAAGTCGGGAACGTCATCGGCAATAATGGTGGGGTCGTTTATAGACTTAACGTGGTCTCTTCTTCCGGGGGCATTGTTTCCTCCTCCAGAAGACTTATTCATCTAAACTTGAGGATGAATGTAATGAGAAACGTTTGCTTCATCTCCTTTATTGTTGCCTTGAGCAAATGACATAGATCTGGTGTCATCAGGAAGTTGGAGACATCGTCAACCATGGGCTAATATGTGAGCAAGCGAGCGCATCTTCTGGAGTCAAATGTCGTTTGTAGCAGGAATTAAGAGTAATGGTATTAAAAAGCGTATCCAATTTCAATCAATTGGCATCGTAGTCTCAAAACGTGGGAATTAATGTTATGCTTTAATGAGGTACCCACCATCTCCATTGTGAGTGTGGCTTATGTGCAGGATATAGCATCAACTCGTTGTGAGTAGTTGATTCGGTGAAGATTACAACCAGTAGCTTTCGATAATCAATTTACTCACCTCTATTCCTAAGCTATGCTTACAATGTCAGATGTCATTGTGATAATGTCACGAAAGATGGCTTCAAACACAAGCTATTGATTACGATTTACTCAATGCATCATTCGATTATGCTGATAAACTCACTCTATAAGGAAATATATTAGGCACGGCCGGGGTATATAATTAGGGCTTTCAGTGCCAGTTAGGCCGTGCCAATTGAGCCGTGCCAATTAGACCGTGCCAGTTAGGCCGTTAGGCCACGGGGGCGGCGTGCCACCGGCGCCGGCTGAAGTAAAACAACACCACAAGCACCAGCAATACCGCCACCCACAGGGTGAGGCGGAACACCTGGGCGTAGCACCCGGCGCCGTGGAGACACTGGTGGGTCTTGGTCACCACCAGCGCCGCGGTGGCGGCGTCTGCCAGCGACATCACCACCACCTCGGAGTTGGCATCGTACACTTTGCCAAACCACAGAGTCAACAAGTACAGGGGCACGATCGGCGATAAGTTGATCACCCCCCAGTTATAACTAAACTTTTCCAAGCCGAACACATCGGCTACCACTGCGGGCATGGCGCAGAAGAGGAAGCCATAGCTGAAGCCGTTAAGCCACAGCGCCACCATTAATTGGGAGGCGTCACTGATGGTAAGACCAAGCAACTGGCTGAAAACAAGTCCCAGAGTGGGGATAAGTAATAGCAGACTCCGAGGCACTTTACGCAGCACCACGTAGTCCCCTAGTAAGCCAGCAACGATGCGGCCAATGCAGTTGGCCACCAGAATAATCAGCACTTGGCCCTGTTGCGTTTTGGCAGCTATCTTCTCTGAGGTGCCTTTAGGAAGCAATGCTTTGGCCATGTAGCCCACCAGGTAAATGTACATTTGTCCCAAGGCGGCGCCGAGGCCGAGGACGATGAAAAACACCCAGAATTGAGGCGACGACACTAGCGACGGTTGTTCAAGCTTAGCGGCGTAGGCTTTGGTGGTGGCCAGTTTCTCTTTATCGCTGGTTACATGAGGAGTTTCCGTGGTCGTCTTGGCGGTACCGACAACAGCGTCGACGCCAATACGGTCGACAAACCAGATCAGCGGCAAGCACATCGCCGTGATTGCCACCACCAGAATAGCAAGAAAGCCAAGGAACTTGGCGGTGTCGCCGGGACACACCACCAGCGCCATTTGACTGAATACCATCGCCAGAAGCCCGTATAGAGCTAAGGGGAGCAGGGTAGCGACACCACGAATTGACGGGAAACACACCGCACAGCACTTAATCGTGGCCAGATTGATGAACGTCAGCCCTCCTCCGATCAAGAACATGAGTGCCATCAGTACTGGCACCAGTGCTGCTGCTTCGCCGACGAGGTACTGGTAGCGGAGCCCTTGGTAGGCCAATGCGATCACCACTGCCCCGACGGCGATGGCAAGCAGGAACCCTCGTGAGTCCACGATCTTACCGGCGCCAGGACCGGCGAGAGCCACGCCCACCAGGCCACAGAGCGCTAGCTGGCTCAGATCGGTCGCCAGGTAGTCTAACCGCTGGGCGAGCTGGGGGCCAAACAGCAGGTAGAGGTAGAGGGTGCCGCACACGAGCCCGAGGAACGTGCACAGCAAAAGCACAAACGACTTGTGGAACGCCATCGTTCCTGTGTGTGGTGGCAGAAGGTTATGGTGGGCGGAGTTGGTGGGACGACGGTAAAATACGTGTTCGGATCTAAGCGCGACTTTGGCGTGTAGATTGTGTGGGACCTGTACCGCGGCGCGACGCAAATGAAGGTGTGAAAGTGTGGCTCAATCGGGCTTTTTGAGGCCTCGATTTGGAGATTTAATGGTGAAACTGTGCACTAGAATACATATATTGAAACATGATGGGTATACATATTTGATAAATCTCTTTTGCGCTTGATTCAATGGGATCTTGTTATTTAGGTGTTGTTTATGTGGCAGTTAAGAAGGAGTGCGTGGGGTGGGGTAGATTTTGAGGGTCGCACTAAGGGGTTAGTAGTAGGGGAATTGAAGTATCATTAATCAAATTATACGACGTACCAGCTTTCGTACTGTTGCACCATGCTATTTACATTTCGGTGTTCACGTAAATATTAAGGGTCTTGCATGTTTATGGGCTTGGCACTGAGAATTTTTCACTATTTTACCAATTTTAACAACGACAGGAGATTAACGCGAAAACCTGGGAGTAGTGGGGCTGTTCGAGTCTGGGAGATGACATATTGTATTTAATGTCTAACTTAAAATTTTGAAAGCTTAAGTTTCTTTTGTTGCCACCGGCTTTGTCCCAGATCCGCCTGGAACATTCTCCCTCCTGTCACCCTCTGTCACTGGGGGTGTCAGCACCACCGTTCATAATCATGCCACTGTAAAACTCACACGGCATTATTGGGTTCTAGATTCTTTTGGACCAGCAGCAGGGGATGGTCATCTCTTGCTGGTAGCCTTTCACTTCGGAACCTACGGTGCCCCATAGGGTGTTTACTAAGGGTGAACAGGTTTGGAGTCATGGACACTTGGCTACACGACCCTTTCGTACCTAATCAGGAAAGTTACCACTAACCGCTCAAGACTGTAACCTCGCAATATGACCAAACTCACGTTTATTATTTGCTAATGAGCTAACAAATTCGTCATGGCTCTAAGTTGCCATGGTTATGTGACTGTTGAAATGTACCCCTAATGAAATGAAGAAAATGGTGGTTAATGGGGCCTAGCCGCGCTTGAGGCGGAACAGGCGGATCGACGGCAGTTTGAACGAGCGGAGCGACAGCGGCTTGCTCTTCGGCGGCAGCGGCGGCGGCTCCAGCTCCAGCCGACGGCGCCCGTCCATGTAGGCGCACACGTTCCACATCGTCCACTCCAAGTGGTTCAGCTGCAAATGGTTGACGACCTCGGCGCGCATCTGCGGTGAGAACTTGGTGAGCATGAGCACGCAGGTGAACTGTTCCGGCGAAAGCGTCATGGCGCCGTATTTGACTTCGATCTGGGTGTTGTAGACCTGGTCCCAGGCGCGGCCCAGGTGGTCGGCGATGGGGTCCTCGGTGAGAAGTTGGAGCGCCATGAGCGGGGTGTAGCGCCCGAAGCGGTCGACGATCTCCCGGATCAACTGGTCGGCGGAGGGGGCGTTTTTGTACTGGGTCCATAGCAGGTGGGACGTCGTCTTGCGCACCAAGTGGAACACCGCCTTGTCGTACAGCGGCACCAACTCCGGCGGCACCGGCGCCGCCAGCGCCACCAGCGCCAGCGCGTGGGTCAGCGGGTTGGTGTCGTTCAGCTCCGCCATCAGCGTCTCGCTGAAGATCTCGTCCAGCTCGCTCAGCAGGCCCCGGGCGGGCTTGTGGAGTCGAGGCAAAGGGGGTGCGTGGGAGTCGTGGAACTGGCCGTAAGGGTGCGGGGCGGGGCTGCCGTGGCGGCTCGAGTTGTTGGAGACGCTGCGGCGGTACGTATCCACCTTAGTGAGCTCGAGGCGCTTCTCGTGGAGCATCGGCGGCGGCGCCCGCGGGTCGTTGGCCGCCAACACCAGCGTCATCAGCGCCCCCGTGCCGTCAAACAAAAAGTCGACGTACTGGCGGAACCAGTAGGTACCCTTGCCGGCGAGGCGGAGCAACTGCGACTTCCACTGGAAGAAGTGGTTGGCGTCCAGGTACTCGCCGAGCTCGACGGGGGCCGCGAGCAGGCGCTTCTTGAGGATCGCCTCGACCTTGACCATCTCCCGGGCCATGTATTGCTTTGAGGCAGCCACCATCACGGGTTAAATGTCGTGTGATTTCAAGCGGGATCCGACAGTTTTAGATATCAAATGGGGATAGCGTCCGGGTTTTATTAGCTGGGATACGACGGGGGTTTATTACTGGAACGGGACAAGCGACGCGTCAACTTTATCGAACAGCAAATAAAATGCCAGTAAAGTGCAGGGCGATCCAACGGTGTATTTCTATGCCTCGCCAGGTGTCGCCGTTTCCCCACCCTTCAAATTATCCTGCTGGGGGGGCTAAACGGTGCTTTTTTTCCCCGTCCGGGGTAGGCGCGGTCCGCGGTTGCTTTCCCGATTGGGAAAAGAACTATGACCTCTACACTGGCGCCGTGCAGAAGAATAGCCAGGCAAATGGGGACAGCGTCAATCACTAGGCGTAGGCAGCGTGGGCCATGACACCATCGGACTTCGGCTGCATTGTCCTGAGACCCTAAGCCCCCTGGCCCTCACGTCACCAGTGACAGTGACTCCAGCGCCACTTAGGCGCCAGACACGCTCTGACCCAATGGGATCACCGCCACTAAAACAAACCCGTGACGCCAACAAGCAATTTGCCAGTCCAGTATAAACCATAACGACCACTCCCTTAAAGCTTGAGGTGGTGTGTCCCGACCTTATTGCCCTTGTTCTGTAACATGACATAATGAAGGCTATGGCGTCCCCGCGACAAAATATACCGATCGTGGAAAAGCCTCCACGACAACGGCAAACAGGTGTCACTTGGCCCGTTGGCCCGTTGGTTGGGAACTCCTGGATTAATGCTTAGAGCGCCATTTCCTGAAGGGTGACGTGTATTAACACGTCCGCGCGATCGGCTTCTACCTGAACCGCCGGAGCCGGTGTCATGCTTGCGCCAGTAGTGACAAAGAGAAAGAAAAACAAGTGAACGACGTATCACGCTGACGAGGGAATTCTTCTAAGGAAGTTAGCCAGAAAAATGAGCTCATTTTGGTTTACACCTTAAAGGTGCCAAAACGACGGATATGTGGATAAGGGAGCCCCGGGAAGTGCTTCGTATGAGGTGTTGTTTATTGTGAGGGGGGGAAGCGCGGAGATTGCAATTAGGTAAAAAAAAAGAGACACCACCAGGGCTGCGTAACCAAATAACTTATCACAGATGGTGTGGGGACGCGATCGCAGAGAAAAAAAAGGGGCGACAATTCGTGCACTTATGAGAGAGCAATTACCCAGGGCTGCGTAACCATAAAGCCGCACTCAATTTACCTACCACCACTACTGCTCTATCTCTAGTAAAGTACCGACTGCCATGGCGGTGCCGAAACACAAGCTTGACCAGCTTATCCTCAACTATTTCATCCAGGAAGGGTTTCAAGCAGCGGCGATAGCCTTTGCTAACGAGATTGGCGTCGCTATTGACCCGCTGGACCCCCGCCGCCAGACCCCCCCTGTCGCCACCGCCACCGCCATCACCCAGGGTTATCTGACCATTACTCAGAGGAAACAAATCAAACGGCTTATACTTCAAGGTCATATAACCGAAGCCATCGCCACCATATCCCAGTATTTCCCCCTGGTGCTCGATGCTAACAACCTACTCCATTTTAAGCTATTGCGCCTAAATCTCATTGAAATGATTAGAACTCACAAACAGGGCGAAGACAACGGCATTGACGACGAAAACCATGACTTTCTTTCCGAAATTTTGGCGTTTGTCCGCGAGCATTTGATCACCAAGGTGCTGCTGCTGTATAAGTTGCTCCACGAGCTCGAGGTGACGATGCTGCTCTTGTGTTTCCGCTACGACCCCCTGCTGGCCGGGGTGGCGTCGTTGCCCGTGGAGCTTCGCGGGTTGTTTGATCTCTCAATGAGAACTCAGTGCTACCGGTTAGTTAATCGGGCTATTCTTTCGTTAAGCGAAACCACTACCTATCTGGGAGTTCCCTACCCAGTATTGGATACTCTGGGTGTGCTGAAAATCGATGGCGCTCGGTTAGAAGAAGATAATATCGGGGAGATTACCATATACTCTCCCGATGACGAGGACCAGTCGTCGCTCGCTAACGAGATCACTACTGATGCCAATGGCGAGGGAGAAGAACCCGATGAAGTCGATGCCACCGTGCTTGAACTGAAACTTGAACGAGTGGTTAAATTGTGGGCAGTCACCGAACAACGCATCGCCGATCTAAATATTAAGGGGTTGACTAAACCCGCCCCCGTCCCCGCATGATTATACAATTGGAGAATGATTATCGCTAATCTGGTCAACAAATTCATCAATACTACGCAGAATGAACGACTGATTGAGCCCAGTGTATGGTCTCTTCACGGCTCCGTTATAATCGACAAAGATGATTGAAAACCGGTCCCTAAGTCAAATGCTGATGTCGATAGTGACACCACATCTGGTGTACGTACTCGTTTCCACGCGCGATGATTCACCCGGCATGGCTCATCGTCGACGTCACCACCACCATCACCGTCATAGCATAATGGAATTTTCAATTTAAATTAATCTAAAACTTAACAAAAGCCCATCTAAACGACATTTTGAAATTTCAAATTACTTCGAGTGCCGTAATTACTGGAGAGCAATCTAGTGCGGAGCCATTGGTGGCGAGCACTCACTAATACTTATCTAGACCATCTGTAGCTGACAAATGCACCTCGACAGCATATTGAATCACTGCTTATACACCTACAGCAAAGCATACATCCCTCATATTTCAAATTTTTCACTTTCAAACACTTACTTTTCGCTTACCTTGTGTCGCCCCCCTAGTGGTCCATCTCATCTCATATGATAAGTAAACCACCTACCACTTAAATCACTGATGAAAAACACTTTTAAATACTCAACTATCTCACGGATTGAAGCTGACAATGCTCGGCGGCAGCACATGCTTTTTAAGCCTTTTTCCGTCCGTTGCTTGCTCGGTCTCCGCGTCCCACTTTAAAGCCGCGGCGGAGTGCTGCTCACTGACAATTTGGACAGCACTCACTCACTCATATATTTCCACCATGAGAGGCGTGTTTGCATCGGTGCTGCGATGGCTGGCGATCCGGTGGCAGCTGACGCTGGCCCGCCCGGCCAGACTGCCCACGGGCGTGGTATTTATGAATATGGGGGGTCCGCTGACGGTGAAAGAGACCTACGACTTCCTCTTCCGCCTCTTCAGCGACGGCGATTTGATCCCGTTTGGCCGCTTCCAGAACATCTTGGCCAAGTTTATTGCCACCAGAAGAACCCCTACCATTGAGAAACACTACGAGGAGATCGGCGGCGGCTCCCCCATCCGCAAATGGTCCGAGTACCAGTGCGGCGAGGTGTGCCGTATTTTGGACGAAACCAGCCCGGAAACGGCTCCCCATAAGCCTTACGTGGCGTTCAGATACGCCAACCCGTTGACGGAGGACACGTTGGTCCAGATGAAGCAGGACGGCGTCAAGCGGGCGGTGGCGTTTTCGCAGTACCCCCAGTTCTCGTACTCGACGCTGGGGTCGCTGATGAATGAATTGTACCGCCAGACGCTCAAATTGGACCCCGAGAGACTGATTGAGTGGTCGTTCATCGACCGCTGGCCCCAACTTCCCGGTTTGGTCGACGCCTTCGCCAATAACATCACCGATAAGCTCAACGAGTACCCCGCCGCCGTCCGGGATAAAGTGGTGGTGTTGTTCTCGGCCCACTCGCTTCCGATGGAGATCGTCAACCGGGGGGACCTGTACCCGGCCGAGGTCGCCGCCACCGTGTACGCGATCATGGAGAAGCTTAAGTTCCTGAACCCTTACCGTCTCGTGTGGCAGTCGCAAGTGGGGCCGAAGCCGTGGCTTGGAGGCCAGACGGCCAAGATCACCGAGAAACTCGAACAGAGAGACGATATCCCCGGGATCGTGTTGGTGCCCGTGGCGTTCACGCTGGACCACATCGAAACCCTCCACGAACTCGACATCGAGCTTATGGAGGAGTGTAAGAACCCGGAAAAGATCAAGCGGGCGGAGTCGCTCAACGATAACCCCGTGTTCATCGCGGGGCTCGCCGACTTGGTCAAGGACCATTTGGCTAAAAACGAGCCCTACCTGAACCAGTTGGAGCTCGACTGCCAGCTTGGCGGCGACAAGGCCAAGAACACGTTCGCCCACCCGAAACAGATGTTTGGTCCTCAAACGAGATCTTCGTCTACGTAAATAGAAAGGAATTTCGAACGCTAATGGCGTCCGGTTCTATTGACAAAATATACATACAATTGATGATAGATTCATCGTTGATCGGCGACATGGCGACAGGGGTCAAACGTCTTGAGGTCGGTGTAGGTCAATTGGAGTGCCTGCGTGACCACCGCTTCATACAAGTGTTGATCGGGTTCCAACCGCCAATCACCGTACTTATCCACATTGTGCTGGCGGTACCATCGCATGTATTCCACTTGCATGTTGTGTTGGCGGTCGAACTGGTAGCCGACAAGAAGCTGCGTGGCGCAGAGCAAGTTGACCAACGCGAGGGCAGCGAAGTGCTGGTCGTAGACGTAGGTGTACCAAGCAGAGGGGGCGGCGTAGAAGAAGCGGAACAAGGGGATATCGGTGCACTGGTGCAGACACTCGTACACTGCCTGGCTGAGGACGACGAGGGTGTCCAAGACGACCGGTTTCACCCGTGGTGGGGTGAGTTCGGCGTCGTCCATCACGCTGAAATACGGTTTGAAAAGTGGGAGCACCGAGTACTCCAGCATCTCTAGTTGCGGCAGCATCCCGTACTCGAGCACCGGCAGTTTCAAGCGGGTGTACGCCATCCAGTGGGTGACCTTGGTCCCTTCCAAAAGCGAGATGTAGTCGCCCTGGCGCCGCTCAAAGTCCACCATCGGCATCAGCGGCAAGTACCCCACCACCATCATCACAAACAGCGTCAGCACAAGCAATTGACCGAGATTTTCGGGAGATATAGTATTTTTCTGTAGAGCAGCCACGAGCTCCAGCGTAAGCTGGACTTGGTGGTCAAACGACGCGAACGAGAACCGGTGGAGCTGAGCTAATGCGGGGGCGGTATCGTCAAGCCGATCGCTCCACAATACCTCGGGGGCGGTATCAGCAAGCGCGAGCATCCCGGAAAAGGCGAACACACACCGCCTGATGAGCACGCTCAGCATGTGCATTTGCGGCATCACCTGTTTCCACAACACCAACTGGCGCAGGTCCTGCGACTGGTTGTAGCGTTCCCCCCACTGGTTGTAGTGTTGTAATAGCCGCAATTCAAACCCGGACATCCCCATCACCGTGTGGGGCAAATTGAGCTTGGTGGCCAGGGGGCTGACGAGGCACTGGACGGTGGGCGAGTTAGCCGGTTTACCCCCTGACTCATCGTGTTCGGGCTTCATTGTCGGTGCTAGCACAAACGTGATGGCATTGGCGTCGTCGTCCGGGTAGTGGCACCGCCGCTGGGTGGCGACACAATACTCACACTGGGGGCGCTCCAAATTGCACTGACGGTTAATATACAAACACACACTGTCCAAGGAGGACTGGTGTACTTACCTTGATGCGGAGCCGCTTACAGCTGGCACACGAGCGGACGCGAGGACGTCCCATGGCTGTCAGCGGCGTTGATAGGGTTTCCGTTGGTGGGAAGTGTCAGGCGGCGGTGTGAGGCTGAAGCAGGGAGGGGGACGGAAGCCGGAGCAGGGGCGTCGTTTCATCCGCGCTTCCGAAAGACAATTAATCCGGCACTGATGAGCTTTGTGGCCACGGGCGTGGGTTGTTTACCGGGGCAGAGATAGCTATTTACCGGTAGATCCACGCACGCGTTTAGGCCCCCGGTGGCGGGAGGGGGCGGGCTGATGGCTCTGGCACGTAATGGGTCCGTTTCCAGGGGAATACGACGTTCGGCAACGTCGCTTGGGGAAGGCACATGTAGACGGCGGGAGGGGGGCTTTTTTGCTTGATCGACTCGCAGCGCCCGCTGTTTAGAGAACAATAGAAATGCCGCACACCATGTGTATGGAAACAACATGGCCAAATGCCCAGGAAATTTAAAATAATATACCATAGAGAACAGAGTAGCAAGTCAGAGAATGAAGGAGATGCCTTGTTCTTTTGAGATGGTCGACAAGAGCACCCAGTTTCGTTTAGTTCGGGCCACCCCTTAGTTAAACTTGGGTGGCAGCGTGCATGAGGCATACACCGCCATATGATTGCTGGGAGACACGAGATAGACGATACCCGACCCCGCCAAGATAAACGGGGGTTAGTCGAATGATATTGGCAGCGAAGAGAAAGGGAAAGTGTAGTATGTTTGTTGTTGTTTAGCTGTACTAACGCCGTGCTATTTCGTTTGGTAGCAGTGACTGTTGTCATGTGCCGAGCGATAAGCGGGTGTCTCTTATGTGGGCTGTAGGTGCTGGCGCATGTGAGCGTATCCGATGCCTCGACAATTAGCGTCGCCACATCCGCATACGTTGATGGCCTTCGGGCATGCTCAGTGATGCCTATACAATAACTGGATAATGCCTGTAGGGCCTTTAAAACGTCCATTATCATAAGTTGGCATTGCTAGGATTTGTCTATATGGTTTCGTAATGCTGGTTAGACTCGTGATTTTTAGGCTTGCGGGGTGGAGACAAGCCTCGTTCATCAGGGAGTCTAATTCCATTGGAGGGAATACGCGATCGCCACGGGAATACGCGATCGCCACGGGAATACGCGATCGCCACTGGTGATCTCGATCTTAGACACAAAACTTAATCTCGCCATCGAGGGTAAAGCGCAACACCAAGACCGTTTGATTTGTGAGTGTTTGGCTACCTGATATTGAGTGAGTTTTAAAGAGTTTTGTCCGTCGTTTTTGTACGACGCCATTTTCACATGCACAGCGTAGGCAACCCCCAAAGTTGAAGGGACGACGACCACAAGGAAATTACTGGGAAAACTAGTGATAATCCAAACATTCAAAGCTTTGCCAATATCGGAAACTATCGAAAAATCGGCTTGGACTACCTTCTGTTCGAATCATCTTACTTCATTACTTAGTCGTATTACTATCATTGTATCAATCAAACTTTTTCCACGGCCACTGCCTTGTGACGACCCAACCAGTGGGCGACGGCAGTGCACCCGGCGCCAAAGACCAACACCAACCCGTTCATCAACCCGGCCAGCCCCAAGTACTTGAGGCGCTCAAACATGTCGGGGAGGTAGAACGGCGCTAAGAACGACCACGTCAGCCGCACAAAGTTGAGGAAAAGCGCCACGTCCAGCGCGTGGGTGGGGTTGGCGTCGATGGCAAACGACGTGAGCACGGTGGCGACGATGTTGTTGCCGGCGGCGGCGATGCCGTCCCCCACTAAGGGACGCACATTCCACGTAGACCCGGCCTGGTCCAAAAACGCCCCCCACACAAAAAGGCCGACGATGCACACAATAAAGCCAATGTAGCCTTGCCAAAGCCGGTCGACAATCACCTTTTCCCCGCGCTTACGGATACAGTACTGCATCCACCAGTCACTGACCCGCCCGGCTAAGATCTCGCCGATCACCAGGCCGATGATTAACGACAAGTAGTTGAGACCCAACAGTTGCGAGTTGAGGTGGAACGCCGCCATCAGGATCGGCTTCAACACCACGAGGCACACGTTGTTGTAGGCAAACGTGATCAGGGCCGCGATCACCGCCATCAACACGTTGATGTTGGCCGCCTGCTTAAACGGAGCCCAGAACACTTTAACCGAAAACGGCGCCGGCGTTCTTAAAGTTTCCTTCATCGGCAACCACATCAAAAACTGGACGAAGTTCATAATGGCAAACACCCAGTAGATCCAGTCGGTGCCGCAGTGGTATTGGATAAACCCGCAGAAGAAGGGGCCGGCGGGGGTACCCAAGATGAACGCCATCAGCCACCACCCGTTCTTGAACGCCCGCTCCTTCAGGAAACACAAATCACGCACAAGCCCGCCACCAGCAGCCGTGCCCATCGAGATGAAGATGGCCACAAGCACTCGGGTCGCCATCTGCTGGCCGTACGTCTTAGCGAACCCAGCACCAAGGTTAAGGACAAAGCAGCAGAACGAGGGGATGACAAGAAACCATTTGCGGCCGTAGCACTGCATCACGGGCACCCAGAAAAGCGGGAAAATCCCAAAGGCAAGGATCATGGCACTCGTCAAGTACAGCTGCTCGTGGACGGTCATGCCGTAACGCTCGGCCATGTCTTCGTAGGCGGTCGAGATCCCCGCCGCCATGAACGTCGCCAGAAACCCCATGAACGCCATTTGCATGATCTGGAGGTTTTTGTACCACGTAGGCCAGTTCAACGGGTCGTCCGGGGTCGGCCGGGGCATCGGGTCCAAGTCGAGGGTGCCGTGGCGTTGCAACAAGTACTCTTCGCCCTCGGGCGTCATCAGCTTTGTCTCGGGCGAGTCTGAGTGGACGTCGCTCACCGCTATGTCGGCGGCGTGTTTGTCGTCGAAGCTTGCCATCTGTTGATTTTCTTTTTGTTTCTGTCTCTGTGTCGTTGAAACGTCAGCACCAACTGCTTTTATACAACACCAACCCCCCACCCGTTTGGAACTTGATCCCGTGCGGGGGGTGGCCAATATTTCACGGCAATCGCAACGGAGGGACCTCATACCGAAAAATGAATCGAACCTGAATAGTCTGGTGATCAATTGGTAGAATTTAACCAATGAGTATACCAATGACAAGCAATTGAATTATGACGTATAGGGAAGAGAAGGACGGCATTGTAAATGAGATCTGTGGCGTTATCTTTTACCGCTGGAGAGCGTCAAGGCGGAACAATAGCCAGTGCGAAATTTTGATCGGGGTGCGGCTGAGACGCGCTGGACAAAGAAAAAAGTGGGGTTGGCTCCGGTGAGTGGGGTAGGCGATTCCGTACATGTTCGGAGATCGTCTCCAGCAGATGTCACTTTCCGAAACGTGAAAGACGGAGTTGTCGGAGTGCACAAACGGAAAGTATAAATTAGCCGCTATCTTCGGTAGATTAAGCAAGTGCAGTGCATAGACAAGGCCTGACCACATCTGGTACCATTAGTTAATATCACAGTTTGAGCCAACGACTCATCACTAGCGAATACCGTAAAGTACCTTGAAAATATCAACCATCACTGTGCCCGTTGTGGATTTCTTTTTCTTCCTGCTAACGTAGTCAAGGAGAGGGGTGTCGAGGGGTGCTGAGGGGGTTACGCTGACAAATAGCAGTACGGAAACTGTGTCCGGAGTTGACTTACCCGCCAAGTCCGACGGAGAATGGCTGGTAGTCTCTCCACCATAAAGTTGAGAAAAGAAAAAGGAATTCAAATTCTCCAACTTTAATGAGGACAGCTCATCTGTGTTTCAAATGATCTCGTGATCAGTTTGCAGGCAACGGCATCAGGGTGTCTCACAGTCTCAGGTAATATATGCCTTACGCCTGTTTGAGCTGCATCACCATGAAGCTATACCATTTTGGTAGGGTCACGGAACGTGGACTCCATGCATGGCAAAACGTAGGTGGCAGGTTCCGCGACGTAGGCGGGGTCCATTGCTGTGAGTGAGGAAGATGGATGCGACTCAGCGCGCACTCTCGGGGGAGCGCTCCGATAGTACTAACAGTAGCGCGCACTTCATAGTAGTCAGCGATCAGCTGAAGCCACCACCAAATCATGATAATAAATGAAAGATGTATCAACTAATTTCAAATGGAGCATGAATTACAACATTTCCGATGGATTGATTGACTTCCACCATTATTCAGAGGGTTCTCTCGTAAGGGAAGGGGCGGAATTGGTTACCACCTTGCTGGTGACGGAATTTTTTCGGAACCCCACACTGCGGCGGTATCATGTTCCGATAGTAGCCATGGTATAAAGCTCACAAACGCTGCCGGATAGTCCTTCCTCCTCACCCCCCTAGCAAACCAAACATGACCACTGTCCCCTGGAAAAGACTCATCAGATTCGTCAACAACGGCAAGATCTACCTCGGCGAGCCCGTGTTGGCGTCAGAAGTCGATGTCGCTAAGGCCCACGCTCAAGGTGGCCTCAAGGCCAGAGTGATCCAGGGCCTGGTGTTCGACGGTAAGGTCACCGACGAAGAATTGGCCGTCGACGAATTGCTTGGCCCGTTGACTGCTGCCGATGTCCCCCTCATCAAGTGTGTGGGCCTCAACTACATGAAGCACATCAAGGAAGGCGGCCGCACCCCGCCCCCCTACCCGCTGATCTTCTACAAGCCCTCGACCTGTGTTGCTGACCACCTGCGTCCCGTGCCCATCCCAAAATTGGCTCAAGAAAACCAGTTGGACTACGAGGGCGAGCTCTGTGTCGTTATCGGCAAGACCGGCAAGAACATCCGCGAAGAAGATGCCCTCAGCTACGTGCTTGGCTACACTCTGGGCAACGACGTGCTGGCGAGAACCTGGCAACGCGACCCTAAGTACGCTGGTGGCGTGCCCCAATGGTGCTTCCTGAAGTCGTTCGACAAGTACGCTCCCCTCGGCCCTCAGTTGGTGTCGTCGGAAGTGATCCCCGACCCCTCTAAGCTCCACCTCCAGACCAGAGTCAACGGCGAAGTGAGACAGGACACCCCCACCGACGACTTGTTGTTCAACGTGCCCAAGATCATCTCGTTCATCTCCCAAGGGACCACCCTTGAGAAGGGGACGGTGATCATGACCGGTACCCCGCTGGGGGTGGCGATGGGGATGCCCACGCCCAAGTACTTGAACGACGGCGACGTCGTCGAGGTCGAGATCTCCGAGATCGGCACCTTGAGCAACACGATGAAGTTCGAATAGGTATCCCTTTTAGTTATGAGTATAGATTATCACGACAAATCAGTTTGAAGTGGTGTAGGTGCTGGGAACTAGTATATGGCCTCCAAAGAATAACAAATGGCTTTTATAATGTGAGGTTGTGGCATCATCTACCACAACTCAAGGAATGCATAATATCGATGGAAGTAGCCAAATTTGAGCCACTTAATCCAGCAGTATACTGCAAACTGAACACGGTATATTGGCTTTCCCTTTCCGCACTGGCGTCAAGGCATTCAAGCAAACTCAATACCATTCATACCTGAATAGTCTTTGAAATAGTATGGGCGGAAGTCGCAAGGTATGGATATCAATCGTCCTAGCCACGAAATCTATTAAATTATCTGATACCCGTGTCTTCCTCCCCAGGCCACCTGAAGTGTCTGGTTCGATTCCTCAGCGTGCCAATTGTGTCAACCTTCGCACCATCACCTCGACCGATAGTACGCGCGATGGCCATCGCATGAAGTTTCTTGTCGCCTGTCAGGACAACGGGGGGTTCAAGCAGATCGATTGTGTCGCCCGTACCGATACCTCGCGCAAGGATGCCCCGCAGCCTCGCCGCATCACCCAATTCTTCGGCGACGTCTCCAAGCGCAACCATATCCTCCAGTTCGCCGTGATCCAAGATACGTTCATCGTCGCTTTACGCCGGCAACTGCTCTGTATCTATGATCTTTTGAGCGACGAATACGAGTTGCTTCGAGAGATTCCTCTTCTACAAGCTCCCGTGTGCTTCCGCGACCTTGGCGATGCCCTTGAGGCGGTGGTGGTGGTACTCAAACACCTGGCGCTTATCGTGAGCCTTGACCCTGACCACGACCCGATTGAGGTTAAACTTACCGATAACGAGATTTCGGACTTGGCGGTGAACCCGGAAACCCCCGGGGTGTGGGCGTATGGGGGTAAGGACTTCGACATCACCGTGGCCCAGTTATGGGACTCCGACGACGATTTTACCAAGAAACTTGACAAGAAACTGTTCTCGGTCGACGTCAAATACACCGCCAAGAACTCGCCGCCCAACCACTTGGATATCAGCCCGAAAATCTGGCCCCGCCGCATACGGTTTTTGCCCGGCGACTTCAGGCTCGTCGTCGGCACCCACTACGGCGAGCTCCGAGTGTACGACTTCACAAAAGACCTCAAACCTTTGCACCACTGGAAGGTGTGCGACAAACCCATTATTACGCTTACCGTGGTTGACGATGGCGACGCCGTGATCATCACCAACGCCCAGCTGCTTGTGGCGAAGTACCTGTTGACGAAGATTGACCCCAGGGGATGGAGAGAACACCTGGCACTGGCAGGGGACATTTTCCATCCGTTGTGCCGTCTCTTAGGCAAGTATCTGGAAGGGGGTAACACCGGGGCTGTGTTTGGCGTGGCGGTGTTTGACGACGTGTTGGCCACGGGCGGGCTCGACCGGTACCTCCGCGTGTTCCGTGCCACCACCCGAAGCCTTCTTGCCAAGGTGTATGTCGGTCTCGAAGTGCTGGACGTCATTGTCCTCGACGGCGACGACAAATTGCAAGAGATCGAAGACGAGCGGTACGAGGAGAAGCAAAAGAGACAGCGGGAGAACGACGACGAGGCCGAACAGATCTGGGAGGAGTTGGAGGAGGCGAGCAAAAAGCGACGCAAGTAGGAGTAGAGGAAGGTAGCAATGTACACTAATCTTAGCACAACCATAGTTTGAAGGAGATATTTTGTTAAATAGTGTAAATGACCCATAGGCATACCCTGTGTCAGTTAGATCAAGTAGTTAGATGGTTCATTGTGTTGAAAATCGGTGGTTGACACAATATAGGCCAATTAAGAGACCATCGACTGTAATGGCTTTCAGCCTAGAAGAGGTGTCCGTTTGTCAAATTGAAGACATCAATTGTATCAAAAGACTAGTGATTTAACACTTAGTCAGAGAGCAATTTCAATAAACACTGCTGGGTTGACATTGACTGGATGTGCATTCATATCTTAAAGCGACAATGGCGTTATTGCGCTGTGCGACCCCTCGCTCGCAACGTTGATCGCACTCCATATATCGCGCGACGATATTCATTCAAAGCCCGTACACATCACCATGCTCTCCCGCCAGCTCCTCCGAGCCCCGTGGGTCGTCGGTATACGCGCCTTAAGCACCAAGCCCCGGGTCCCCATGATGCTGATGCTGCGTATGACCACCAACGCCTCCGTGGCGATGGCGTCACGCGTCGCCTGGGCGTCGATCCGCTCCAACTCCACCAAGCCAGAACCCCCGATTAAGACGCCCAAGCCGGGCAAGAAACAGGGCGACGGGCCCCGCATCCGCTACCTTTTCTACATGTTGGTGCTTTCGTGGGTGGTGCTCTACTTTGTCACCGGCAAAATGGACAAGAAGAAGCCGCAAACCCTGTTCGAATCAGAACGCGAGTTCCGCGAGTACGAAGAGAGAACCGGGCTTAAACGTCGGTCGAAGTTGGTCAACCACGAGCTCAACGACCACTACCGGTTTTACGTGATTCCTTACGTTACCGATGACGCTGTTGTCGACGAAGTTACTAAGCAGATCAAGCAGTTGGATCCGGCCAAGCAGGTGAAAGTCATTGACCCTACCGCACTTATCGCTAAGGAAAAGGAGGACGAAACCCGCCGCTACTGTTACCTCTTACAGGACCTTGATGAGAAGCACAAAAGCTACCCTAAGGGTTTGATCACCACCTTGATTAAGAACGAGGTCAGAGAATTCATGAACACCCGTCTGGGTACCTTTGACACTAATTTCGTTATCAAGAACTACCCCCAAGCTACCGACGAAGCCATCAAATTTGAAAACGACGTCAGTGACATCCAAAAGTGTCTCGTTGTCCATTACGACATCGTCAATCACTTGCCCGAGAACCCTGATTTGGCACGGCGTATCAACAACGTTGTGGGTTACTTCAACACCGTTGGTCGTACCAAAGAACTCGTGCTGAAACACAACGATCGTATGGATAAAGAGTTGAAAGAAATCATGTTGGAAGACTTGTAAAGCTCGTATATACTCGAGTCATCCAGCAAGCCATGTATATACATCAAACGTGGGCGAAAGGTCCCCCAGAATAGATATTTCGAAATTACAACAGACTAATTTGGTATCATTGTTTGACATTCTAATGGAGGCAAATGTGTGCGTGACCAGTATATCAAAATAGGCAATCAAGAATAAGCTCCAAGCCAGGCAACATCTGACTGGTTGTATTTGTGAAAAATCGACAATTTACAAATTCCTCGCCATGGAAATCACCAAAAGCGCCGTACAAGCCGTCTGTTTTTATTTCGTGGTTGATGATAGTGCCAAAGTTTAGCGTTTATGACGAATGTGCGTGGAGAAGCTAAGTCTACATCGGTAGTTTGATGTTTGTCAGAGTGAGTTGTGTGACTCTGGTAGTGCTAAATGTTGAACAAACATAGATTTCAAGTACATACCCTAACGAGCTAGCGTTGACAACAAGAGCCAGCCATAGTTAACACGACGCTCATTACGGGTTGTTACCCCACAGCCCCATCTTTTTGTTATTTGAGTGTTAACCAGCAATTCTTCAGCTGCGAAAGCCCAGTTCATTAAAAGGTCATAGAGATTCCGAAATGCGTTTTGCTGTTCCACAGTAGGCGAATTCGACCACGGTTGTTGAGAAACCATGTAAAAGCTCAACGAAAGAATGCTGACGACAATACTTTCGTCCGCTGTATCACGCCGCATCATCTCTTGAAGGCGCTCCAAGTTCAGACGAACCACATGGAGCACGCCTTCGTTCACCCCATTCTGGTCAAAAACTTGGGCCAAGTTTTCATGAATAGTAGTGGTGTAGTTCAGCATTTATTTTCGGCCTCAATACTGGCTTGGGCTCTGGCTGCGTGTTCTTCATCAGCTTCGGCATCACTTTCTGAGGGGGGATAAAGTTGATCAAGCAACATAGCTTGATATTTTGCTTCGGACTCGGCGCTAGCATCCTTTTGGGCTTGAGCCTCTTCTGGAGTCATAACTGGAGCAGTTCGAATTCTAGCCTTATAATCTCCAGGTCGAGGCCAAGTAGGTACAAGGTCTGAAGGTCCAGGTTGAGACCAAATTGGAAGCTCAGTAGGTCTCGGGCTAGACCCAGAACGTCTCCGTGGAGTCCCATAAGGCGTCGGAGACCCAGATGGTTCTGGGGAAGACCCATGAGGCGTCGAAGACCCAGAAGGCCCTGGGGGATATCCATAAGGTGTCGGTTGAGGTGTAAAGGGCTCAGTTTGAGCGTGAGGTCGAGTTCGTCTTCTCTTCTTCCGATTACGTTTGGCCATATTTAATCAAAAAATCATGGCACATCAAGCATTCTTATAGTAGCTGGAATGAGCTCAGAATAGCCCCCTAGATCTCTCGAGATCGCCACCACCTAGAAGACTGAAGTAGGAATTAAATGATAAACTCAAATTCGTTAGTTACCACTACCCAATAAACCCTAAAATTGAGTAAACGTCAAGCCTGCCTGTCAAAATATTGCGAAACTTTACCTTTCATCCTCATTGAACATCACTAAATTTCGGTTAGCAATATGTGCTTTATCAGCTCATCGGCCCATAGCAACTCAGGTCAGACAATTAGCTCCACTTACTTCCATATAATCTCGCACCGACTTCCATATTTCACGACGACGCACAAGCAAAAGGGTGAGAACTCAAAAGTCGCCACCACTGCATACTTATGTCCCTAGAGTTGTAGAACTCTTTAAACTTTTTAACCTTCTTATTGCACTAGTCCTGTCTGAATTAAGTTGAACATTGCCTTCCGGTGGCTTGTATCCAGTCAATAGAAAAACACAATCTTACTTAGTGCCTGCTCGATGTCATCCGACTGACAGGAAATTGACAGTCCTCATGCACAAACGGATTACCATGTATACAAGCGGAATGCGTGTACACAAGACATTCACCTTACAGGTTATCACATGTGCTAAATCGATTAACATAAAAAGGACTAGTTAGCTTACTAAAAAATTAACTTGATCAAAGTCTTGAGTTTTCACCGAAAGAGCGGGTCACTCTTATGGATCGAGTTCAACAACAGTCTATGTGTTTGTGGGTTATCTTTTCTCGTTCACTGTAATCTTTGAGTCTTGAATTATATCTTTGTAGTTGAACTCGATTCTCAAGAGCCGCACGCTCTTGAGGTGTAAACACAAGTTGAATACTCATATGTAGAACAGACTTTGATCAAGTTAATTTATTAGTAGACTAGCTGGTCCTACTTATGTTAATGAGTTTATCACACGTTATTTAGCATGTGCCAACTTGTAAAGTGTTTGTCATGTCCTATTTGGACGAATAGGCATCCTGTTTGGTCGAATAAACAAAAAAATACACTGAATTAGGATTCATTATTCAACAATCTTGATTACTCCATCAAGTTTAAGTAAGCTTTCTGTTGTGGCATCATTATCTCGCCACGTGATTTGTCGCAGCCAAATCACCATTTCGGTCTCATGACTGCAGATTCGATGTTCCGCTGCTCGGACTGCATGTTGTGTCCTCTGTCCATTGCCATGGAAGCAGACGGAAAAGTTTTAACATATAGATATTGTTGGTGGACCACTGATGTGACCCACCAGTTGTTTAGGTAATCACATCCATTTCGGTGCGCCGTCTAGTCAAGTGAGAGGCTAGACTGCACGAGAGCGCGATGACTCATACGAGCGTCGCGCGGTTTAGAGAAATACACATCTTTTTACTACATTCAATCAACTCGACACTTTAACTAGCTTTCTCTTTACCCCTATTTCAGGAAGCTTGGTTATAGTCGACCGCATTGTGTAGATAAGATAACAATGACTGACTCAGTTAACAACAACACGTCTCAATTGGAGACAGGTCAGGGACCGAAATCCCAACATGGTGCGAATTTTGTGGATTCAGTGATGCTGGTTATCAAGGTGAAGAAGACGATGATCTTTTAACTGATCGTTCCTCGATCTGCAACGTCGTTTACAAACACGGGCTTATCACTTGGAGATCTACTAGATCCCCATGGGTTTGTGACAGCATCGCTAAGGCTGAAATGACAGCGATGTACAAATTGCTCACTGATTTGGCATTCTTGAACAAAGTCTTCCACTTTCTAAAAAATGGCGCTGACCTCGAAGTTTTTGTACCTACAAACGATCTTGCGCTCACCGACAGTCGTACTGTAGTTAAGCAAGTGAGAACTATGAAGCTTGACAGCAAACAAGTAAGACACTGGGAAAACAAATTTCATTACTGCCTCGAAAGATACAAAAACGGCAACGTGAATATTATCCACGTACCGACTCAAAATAACCCCAGTGATATTGGAACGAAACCGCTTGGCGAAGAGACCTATGTCGGCCACGCGGGACGCATGTTTGATTTTAGTTTAGTGGACACACGTCCCCTGGACAACTTTCTTGAAGATTATCCTGAATACAATCTTCAAAAAGAAACAGGTGATGTTGGTGGACCACTGATGTGACCCACCAGTTGTTTAGGTAATCACATCCATTTCGGTGCGCCGTCTAGTCAAGTGAGAGGCTAGACTGCACGAGAGCGCGATGACTCATACGAGCGTCGCGCGGTTTAGAGAAATACACATCTTTTTACTACATTCAATCAACTCGACACTTTAACTAGCTTTCTCTTTACCCCTATTTCAGGAAGCTTGGTTATAGTCGACCGCATTGTGTAGATAAGATAACAATGACTGACTCAGTTAACAACAACACGTCTCAATTGGAGACAGGTCAGGGACCGAAATCCCAACAGATATTCATATCTTTTATTACACACTTGTTTCCCCCAAGCGCTAGCTTACCAACCCCTATCAACTGTATTACACCTACAGCATGACTCCCAAGTCCTCTGACTGCAAGTAGGAGAACCAATTCGATAACCTCTCGGGTTATTCTGAGGATTCTGGCAATGCCGGTTCTCATCACTTTCAATGACCTCCCTTAATCTAGCGTACTAGTACGAAACAGTCCTACATATAAAATACCGCTCCACTCGTCGAAAATTATCTCAATTTGTTTTTCAAAATAATTTTCTAAGCTATGCACAGGCGTGGACGTCAGTTCCGAGGATATCAACATTATCTGGGAGTGCTGCGTAGCTCTTACGTATATAGTTCACCAGAGGTAGCGAGTTTGTGCCCTGAGAGTGACTAACACATTGCTGATAGCACCATTGAAATATTTTAAACTGTCTTTTTTGTCTGACTAGTCTCCTGGAAACCAACACGATCACTGACACCATCACCTGCCTGCACACAAAGATCAGTACTGCATGTAGTTTGTTAAATGTAAGGTGGGTCATGTTACTGAAGGTCAGGGGCACTTTGGGAGAATTTAAATAACATCACAATGCTTTGCATGGCTCAATCAGAGCTTGCGAAAACAAATAAAATTTTCTTGAATTTTTTGGTGAAAAACTTAAAAGTTGAATATAAAATCAGGAACATCTGATAGAATCAAACTATTTGCACCATTAAATGTTTTGTAACCAGAAGTATATTCTATGTAATTTTGAATGGGCTCACTTTGAAATTGGTTTGTCTAGGTCAAATATTGTGAGATTTCACGCCACAAGAAAACTTTTTTTTT